AAGCAAGGAGGGGTGGCCAAGACGGTGGTGCCACAGGAGAGTCTCGTGAGACAGGCGGCGACACGAGCAGGGGGCAGACTCAGGACCAGACCTGGACGCAGCAGCAAACACCTGACCCGACGCAGCTACCTGGCCAGACGCAGGGACAGGAGGAGACGCAGTGGTCAGTGTGTAGAGACTCGACCCTGGCCGACGCGAGAACGTGGCCAGGTGTCGGCCTGTGCGGGCATCCGAGCAGTGGGTCACCCGCTGACTCGCAGGAGTAAACTGGTGAACCCCCGCATCCTGCAGGTCAGCACCACTCACCAAGTTCGTCGAGAACGAGGGGAGGTACAGACCAGACAAGGTGCCCGAGGGGGCAGCCGGACACGGGAGGACAGTGGAGAAGTGAGAGAGGACAGGACCCCCAGAGGGGTCAGCCAGGGAGACTGCAACCGGCCGGCCAAGCGGCGTGAGTGTGGTGCGGTCTCGAAAGAAGGAGCGAGAAGCCCCTGAGTCAAGTGTGAAGGTGAGGGAGGCCGAAGCCGACGCAGTACCTGAGAGCGCAGCCTCACCAGTACCTGAGAGTGCAGACGCACTGGCACCTAGAGCAGCAGCCGCAGAAGTACCTGGCGCAGCAGTACCAATGCCCGGGTCGGGCGGGAAACACTGGTAACAGTCACCCTCCTCACTAATAGTCACAGCATACATGGCAGCAAGGATAGCATCAAAGTCAAGATCAAAGACAGCTACGCCAGCCCTAGACAGCTCTCCCCAACGGGGAATCTCACTGGCCTCGGGGAACTGCTGACGCCAAGCGTCCGTCAGGCGGCCAAAGAAGCGCTGAGTGGGGTGCGCACCCCCACACTGCTCACCCGCTCGGTCACCGGAACGAAGGACGTAGGTGCACGGACCAAAACCCCCACCCCGCTGACGCTGCGTGTACCACTCACGGAGCTGCTGGGGCGGGGGGATGTCCCGCGAACGCTGCTGCTGCTGCTGCTGCTGACGCTGGCCACCACCAGGGCCGCTACGCAGCGGGGCACCACCCCGACCAGCTCCACCCCCTCCGCCACCGCTGCCTCCACCTCCACCACCACCGCTGCCTCCGCTCCCACCGCTGCCGCCACCACCGCCTCCTCCTCCGCTGCTGCCACCGCCACCACCGCCCCCGCCACCACTCCCACCGCCACCCCCACTCCCTCCTCCGCCTCCACCGCCTCCTCCACCGCCCCCGCCAGCTCCACCCGCGCCCTTGCCCCCCTTGCCCCTGCCAGGGCGGCGTCTCCCGCTAGGGGCAGACGCCGCGCAGACCGACTCAAGACCAAGCAGGTCGGCAGCAGCAGCAGAGGCAACAGAGGGCAGCAGGGGGGAAGGAGAACACCCCTCAAAGATGGGGGTGCGAGGGTCACCACGAGAGGCTCCTACAGCGACGATGCTCTTCTCCGCCGCCAGGAGGGACTTCTCGAGGAGGTCGACAGTGAGAGTGGTGGGACAGACCGAGAGGTAGTGGTCCCTGACTACGCGAAGGGAGTCAGGGAGGCGTGTGACTATGTAATAGAGAGTGATGTACATGGGGGGGGGGTTCTTGGCGCAGAACTCAGCAGGAAGGGCGGCGCGGTAGCGAGTGTCACTAGTGCGGAGGTGCGTAATGAGGTCAGCGACAGTGGGAAAGGCAGTAAGGTCAGGAAAGAGGTACGGTAGCATGAGGCGGCTCAGGGCAGCAGTGGCAGGGGAAGAGTAGCGCGCAACTACAGCGTCGTACAAGGTCTGAGCACTCTTGTACTGACTAAAGTGCGCGCGCTCAGTGGTAGGCAGGTGGCGACGCACAGCAAGACGTGCAGCAGCATCGCGGGTGGCCCACTGAGAGCGAACAGTGGGGTCAGCATCAGTAGCAGGGGCAGGAGAGGCGCCAGAGGTGAGGTCAAAGAGGGAAAGACCGTCCGCCCTATCGCACTGTAAGAACAGCTGCAGGTCGTCGACCCAGACCTCAAAGTCAATGGCTCGACCCTCAGCGTCAAAAGCGAGGACACTAGGGGTAGCCATGACGACGACAGACGAGCAGTGCAAGCAGTAGGGGAAGGGCACGCAGTGACAGTGGGGCTGTGCTCACCGGACAGGGCAGGTCGGGCGGCTCGGCAGTAGGGCGGCTCGGCTGCTCAGCGGCTCGGCGGCAGGGCGGCTCGGCTGCTGGGCGGCTCGGCTGTTGGGCGGCTCGGCGGCAGTGCGGCTCGGCTCCCGGGCGGCTCGGCGGCAGGGCGGCTCGGCTCCCGGGCGGCTCGGCTGCAGGGCGGCTCGGCTCCCGGGCGGCTCGGCGGCAGGGCGGCTTGGCTCCCGGCGGTTCTGCTGCTAGGCGGCTCCCGCAGGTAGGGCGGCGGTAGGGCCGCAGGTTGGGCGGCGGTAGGGCCGCAAGGAGGGCGGCGGGCGGGCCGCAGGTAGGGCGGCGGTAGGGCCGCAAGTAGGGCGGCGGGCGGGCCGCAGGGAGGGCGGCGGTAGGGCCGCAAGTAGGGCGGCGGGCGGGCCACAGGTAGGGCGGCGGGCGGGCCGCAGGTAGGGCGGCGGGCGGGCCGCAGGTAGGGTGGCGGGCGGGCCGCAGGTAGGGCGGCGGGCGGGCCGCAGGTAGGGTGGCGGGCGGGCCGCGACGTGAGGGCGGCGGGGCCGCTGTAGTGGGGCGGCGGGGCCGCTTAGCAGAGAGCGGCGGGGCCGCGTGAGCAGGGCGGCGGGGCCGCGTGAGCAGGGCGGCGGGGCCGCGAAGCAGAGGGCGGGCGGGCCGCGACGTGAGGGCGGCGGGGCCGCTGTAGCAGGGCGGCGGGGCCGCGTAGCAGAGGGCGGCGGGGCCGCGTGAGCAGGGCAGCGGGGCCGCGAAGCAGAGGGCGGCTGGGCCGCGCGAGCAGGGCGGCGGGGCCGCGAAGGAAGGGCGGCGGGGCCGCGTTAGTAGGGTGGCGGGGCCGCGAAGGGAGGGCGGCGGGGCCGCAAGGGGCGACACGGAGGGTCGCTAAAAAAAAGGAAAACGCGCCTCGGGGCGCGCTTCGGTGGGCCCTAGAAGCAGTCCCTAGGAGGGGACCTGCTCTGATTCCATGTGAAAATGAAGAACGAGAAATGAGTGAACTATGAAATGAAGTGAGTACAAATAGGAAACCCTAATTGGGTTGTACCCCTTATGGGATACCCCACTATAGCCTACACAACAGCATAAGCTATATAATGTTCTGACAAACCGTGTAACAACCATTCCAAAATGGTCGCCTATAGCAGACCTCGTTAAGGCATCCGGTATCGGTTTGCAAGGTATGTGGTGCAACCAATGGTCCTGGTACACGGTACTGGGTTCCGGTGCGGCGACGATAAAATTACACGTCATTGGGGCAATCCGAGGCCGACGCGTGGACAGGGTTTTTCCGAAAAGCGGCCAATGTCGAGTATTCCGACCTTCGTGTGCTGTACAACGCGACGACGGTTTAGATTGACCCGGTAGGACGTGGACTCCAATCCACGGCTGTCAGTCACTTCGAATGCCACGCCCCAAAGGGAGCAGGTGCCGATTGGCGCGTCTGGTTGGTTGATGGTAGCAAGGCTCTTGTTCTTTGTTGTCTCATTGCGTTTTTTGTTGAAACCCTAGCATTGTCTCTTTGGGTACTACTCGTAACCCTAGCTAATGCCCCTCCGCGCAGGCCAGTGTTGCAAGAATCGCCCTATAGAAGAAGTCAGTTCGAGGTCAGAACGATGTCGCTAACCTTAGACCGTCCTATGAGAGATAGGAAGCCACCCGCACACCTTAACGGCGACGATTTCGTAGTGACTACGGTCCGCACTCGAGCGCTGGACAGCAAATGGGTGGAAGAGAGTGAGCGAACGCGTGTGCTCGTTACTGAATATCGAACTCGGCGTCTACGTGGCGCCAGTCATTTGCCGCCAGGCCAACGTCAGCCCAATCACGGTGTCAGCGCCGGCCCACACCAGAGACCGTTGCCTAATCCATACGGCCAGACTCCAGAGGACGTGCACGCGGAGCGCGAAGCACGGAGACGTCAACAAACAAAGCTGTTGACCGAGCTTACGTCTGGAAACGCGGGGCATGCAGAACAGTCAAACAAGGCAAGGGGTAAGCCACTTCCGTACATGCCGTAAGAGCCGCATGCCCAACCGTGATTTCTTATTAGGAATGGTTCATCGCGGCGATGGCCATTGGCGGTGTTGCGAATACGGTGACCATGGGTACTCACCAAGCTACTAAGTAGCGTTTCCGTTTGTTGTTGCAGGTTTTGATCCAAGCCTAAGCGGGGACACTGAGCACGGCGGTCCACGCAGCACCGAGTGCGGCCCTGAGGCATGGCTAAAGTACAACGAGGTGCTGTTTACAGTGCACCACTCATCATGCACTGAAGAGCCCGACGCCGACGGCGAGGGCACGGAGTCCTCACCGTGTGACAGCGAGGATCAGTCTGGCGACGCGGACTGGGTCGCAAGCGAGTCCGAGTCCGAAGCGGAGACTGATAACACGCCTCCTCCCTCTCACCAATCTGAACTCGCAGGAACACAAGGTTGCGGCCAATCTGCATCAGGCCGTGCGGGTAAGCGCTTGCGGGCCACCGGGAGCAGGGCCAATCGCTTACGCTGTGACGCCAACACGTCTGTGGTTCGACGGGTCATGGCTGTGGCGACACGGGGAGACGCGCGACGTTGACATTCCGTCGGCTACAGGCCAGAGCGCGAATGTCGCACGAGGCGAGGCGGCGACGTCGGAGACCCGAGTACACGATAAGAAATTGCATCCGTCATTCACACCCGCGGCGGCGGGTCATGGTGGGTACCCCGCCACATCGAGTCCCACACCTACAACCCCTCTGAATCGCTCGCAGGATGTCGTCAGGGGATCGGCGTTTTCCGGTAACTCCGCGAGGCCGTGGCCGCCCACACCGAACACAACACTTAAGCACAGTGGTGTGGAAGCCGAGTCCAATGCGGCACCGTCTCGTGGCGGGGGGGTGGTGAACCGGACCTTGTTCGCTTCGCCGCCCAGGATGCATCCGTCTAAAACTGCCGGCTCGCCTTCTAACATTACCCCTGCCACGCCCTTGGTAGCACATCCACCGCAGGTGCACGAGCGTGGTCCGGACGGAGCTGGTGTTTTGCCGGGCATGATTCCCACGCCCTTCCTGGCCACATGCGGTGACAGTCCCGACAGTGCCCGTGGAGCGGACACCGTTCTTGGTGGCGATGCGTGTGGAGACGACGTCGCCGGGCGTGCGATGGAGCAAATACGGCTGCTGTGGGCGCAGATTCAGGCGACTCGTGGGACAAAGAGTACATCGGCTGCGGCACACGGGGGCGTCCCGAACTTCTCCCTTGGCGAGGACCTACAGGCCGCTCTCGCGGGAATGGACGGCGATGCGGCGGATGAGTCGGGCAAAGGACTGGAGAACGGAAGGACTGGGGATGCACCCCAACAGAGTGGGGTTCGGAGGGACGCGTGTGTGGCGACGCAGGGACCATCACGACCCGCCTGTAAACCCGATGAGTTAGCGCCGGTTGCAGAGGCGTTTGCGCGGCCAAACCGCGGATTCGCAATGAACCGACTGTCTGGAGCTGGGAGGCTGTCGATCGTGGGGAACCACGTGGCTTCCCGGGTGGGCGGTGTTGGCGTGGGGACAGAGACGGGGATGGCCGCGGGGACCGTAGCGCCTGATGGTGTTGCGTGGGATCGACACGCGTCAGGCATGCAAGGAAGAGGGTTGAAGCGAGAGCGGTCGAAGATGACGATCGTGGTCGACTACAACCCAAACCATGCCAGGCCTGAGTTGCAGCCGAGAGTGCCTCCGGCAGACAAGATACACGTATGTGGACTAGGCAGTCCTGGATAATTTTACGCATGAGGGCTCGGTGTGGTTGTGATTTTAAGCATGGCGGTTTGCACTGTTGTAGTCTCCATAGTCAAGTGTCGAAACTGCTCTGTGCCCGTGGCGTCGTGGTTCCCCCCACCCCCCCCCACCCCCCCCCTACCAACCCCGCCCCCCAGTTTTACGCCAAGAAGGCGATGCATCTGTTGTTGCGCTCATGCGCCGCGCATGGCGTAACATACTGGCCGACGGACAACGAGAGGAACGTGGCCCTTCTTGTGGTGCTCCGGTGCCACTACGACGTCTGTCAGCTAGACGTTGACCGCGCCATGGACAACGGGGCGTACAGCAAGGTGGTCAACAAGATCTGGTCGAAGTTCAGGAGTGACTCGTCGTCGCACGGACGCCGCAGGATCGTGGATGGGCTGGAGATCGAGGTCGCAGCCACCGGCATCTACAAGCTGGAGATCGATATCGACACCAAGAAGGATCTGCAACGGAAATACGCGCCCAGTGAGTGTCGTGGGTGCACACCGGGGATCCCCATGGAGGGCTCACAGGGCAGGGCCTATGTATGCTGGGGCTGCTTTAACTATCATACTTGCCTGCCGCACCGTGTACAGAGAAGGAGCTTATGCAGCTTGTATCGACATGGAGCTGCGAGAAAGGGGATTTGCGGCCGTTTACCACCAAGGTCTTTTTCCAAGCATGCAAGGCGGCCTATCCAGAGTGGGTGTTTGGAGGCAACCTGGTGCTGGTGCCATACCACATCGCCTGGGTCTTGTATTCCGTGAGTGGATTGAAGCTATTCGTTCCGTGTTCTATGTGGCTCAATGTATCTGACTGACGGTGTTCTGCAATTAACCTGATGGCAGTTCGATTTCGGGATACGCAACTGGAAGACAACAGCGATATGCATGACTCCTAGCCCTCTTGACAACGAGGGGGGGCTAGGTTACTGTAACGAGCAGGTGCTGAAAGTGATCACCCATTGGCTGGGTGTGTCAAAGGGCAGGTGGTACGATCCCGTCGTGGGCGGATTCAGGTGGGGGGCAGAGCACCTGTATGTCAACGCGAGTGACCTGGAGGAGTTCAAGCCCGTGCAATATGGGGGAAAGATGGACCCGGGTGGTGACACCGACGAGCCGTGGCTCGCTTGATGTTGTTAGATTGTGGTTCAGTGCCACCGGGGCACTGGGCAGTATATGTCAGAGCTTATATGTTCGGTCCGTTATTACGGGTGCGTAGTGTGGGTGGAGTATATGTTCTAGGTTAACTACTAGTGGGGCACAATTGTAACAACTGTAACTATGTGCGTCTCTAAATGTAATATACGTTATGCGTAACAATTTATAATATGCGTTATGCGTACGATGGTGTAGTGGATCGTATTGTATCGAGGATGCGGTGCGGTCGTGTACACCATGGGCATAATATATTGTGTCCGATATAAACGTAACCCTTGTAACAAGTGTCGACGCACTCAATGACGGGGATTAGGCGGTTTGTGTGCTAGACACGTGTGACCTTAATGTGCCCTCGGAGTGCCTTTGGGGTCAGTCTATCTGACCCGTACCTGACTTTTCCCGCCAAAAATCTAACCCGTACCTGACCCGTACCTGACCCGTACCTGACCCGTAAGTCACTTATGGGTTAGCCCATCTGACCTCAGACTGACCTAAAGTGTCAGTTCCAAAAGTAACTTATGGGTCAGATTTCCAGATGTCCCCAATCTTGCCCGGAAGTTACCTGGGGGCCCCTTTTGGGTCAGAACATTTTGGAGACGGTGGATAAGCAACATGCTGAGCTGGAGGATCCACGCGCCAGCAGGGCCTCGCAGATACTGCACGAACATTATCGCGATTTTTTTTTCTATCATGGCGACATCACGGAACCTTGCACGTGCCATAAATGCCTGCGATCCCGCCGCCTGCTCGCCGTAAACCAGATTCTGAGAATCGTCAGCATTTGGACCTTCTTTTACGGTTTTCAACAGCGTGATTGGTTGAAGTGGCACCCAGCTTTGACGGCTAGCAGCCCAGTTTCCGTTCAGCCCAGCTTTGAAGGATGCCGCAAATCATTGGCTCACACAGACTCGCTACACATTTGAGCGGTCAGTCAGTCCCTCGTCGCGTCGCGAGAGTGCTGCTCCTCCCCTCTCCAAAGCACTCCCACGCCGCGTCCCGAGTTAGAATGCATAGTATGTGAAGAGCCGCTGCATTTCCTGTCTTATCAGTTCCTCCAGCGTTATCTTTGTTCCATGCCAGCTCGTAGTAAATAGAAAGGTGCGTGAACTTTCGTTTCCGACAAATCCTTCCAGAGAGTAAACTCCGTCCAGGTTTGTTTTAATTTGAAGCTTCTGAAGAATCCGTCCAGGTTTGCTCGCGTGCTCTTTTGCTTCTGCGACTACAAGATCGAGTCCGTGTTAACTTTGGTGTAACTCTCCCCATGGATTGCTTTGACACCCCTCTAACGGGTGGATCATGTTTCGATGCGCACGCGCCTCTAATGGAAGAGCCATGCTTGGACGCGCCTCTTGTTAGGGTTGGTTCGCCCAACCACGGAACCTACGGCGAAATGCGGAATGGAAGCGCGTGGGAGATTCTAGAGCTGAAACGGTGGAAATCGGCCTACGGTGGATATCGGGAGCTACGGCGTGAGAAGCGGGAGAGAGAATCGAGAAGAAATGTGCTAGAAGGAGGAAGAGAGAGGGAGAAGCATCGAGAAAGAGATTGACGGGGGGAAATTGTGGTCTGAGACCAAGGCGCGTTCGAGAAGGTTCCAGATTCGGTCTTGAGGAGTGTTCACCGAATTCGGTTCGGTTACGTGTGCGACTCGGGGTGAAACGAGGCGCACGCGGTTACTTGGGAAACAAGTGAAGTTACGAATCGCATTTTGTGTCTTGCCTGACTATAAACCTGTTTGTACTCATTCTGGAAATACAACATTGGACAACATTGAGATTCTGAAAATTGCTGAAGTGTGTATTGACAACTTCAAGCAGAGCTGCGCATATCGTTGGATTCGTGAGATCGTGGAGAACACGATAAGCAATAGCAAGTAGACTATTGCCGACTAAGGTGTTTACGATCCTAAGAACTGGTATCAGAGCTTGGCGAACGGGCGCGTCGATCGTCGTGAATTCACTTGGTGCGCTAAGTGAAATTAGTGGAGAAGAGGAGTCGTTCACGCCTACGCTATGGGAGACGAGGCGAGTTCGGGTTCCAGTGTAAGTCTTGGAGACCCGCAGTTGAAGGCTCTTCTCGAGGCCCTTGCGAGTGGCCGATTGGTGGCGAAACCGACGATCGGGCTCAGTGAAGCCCAGCGCTTCAACGGGAGCAACTACAACGTGTGGCGGAAGAAGTTCATTCGAAGGGCAGAGGAGGTGGACCTCTTGCCGTACTACCGTCCCGACGAGGAGACGATGGAGGGAGTTGCGCCTTCCACGACGGATACGAAGGAGAAAATAGCGGCGTTCAAGAAACAAAGTAAGCAAGCGTTCTTTCAGCTTTGTCACTCAGTTGCCGATGGAATCGCAGTGGATTTGGACCAGTTTGCAGGGGAGCTGAACTCTGCACAGCGAGCGTGGGAGTACCTGGAGTCCACGTACATGGGTACGAACGATGTAAACAAGAAGGCGATCAGGAAGCAACTGCTGATGCTGAGCATGGAGAAAGGCGAGAAATCATCACCTACATCAACAGGGCGAAAAGCTACAACGACGATTTGCGGGTGATGGGAGCCGCGGAGACGGAGCATGAGATGATTGACTATATCATCCAAGGCCTTCCTAAGGAGTGGGAATCTGACATCGGTATGTTTACGTACCAACCGCCGGAGAGTTTGACGAAGCTGCAGGAGATTCTGCAATCGCTTGAGACGGTGAAGGAGATGAGGAAAAAGAAAGCGGTAGCAGCAGCTACGGAATTCGACGAGGAGAGGCCGGCTTTGGTGAATGCAACGAAGGCCTTTGGAGCGTGCTACCAATGTGGAAAGCGCGGTCATAAAGCGATAAACTGCTACGAAAATCCTCGAAGCAGAAACTACAAGTGCAAAGCTGTGGAGAACGATAAAGGAGAAAATGAGGGAGCGGAGTGGCAACAGAAACGAGGTTTTGGCGGAAAGTGCGACTATTGTGGGCGCTACGGGCATCGTGCCGCAGAGTGCTACTCCAATCCGAACAGCAGGAGCTACAAGGGTCCGTCGCAGCAGAGGAATGTGGCGGCTAAGGCGAATGTAGCAGAAGCGAACGAAGAGGATGTGATCCTTGGAGGAGCGCATCTTGCGAACGTGGTGCGTTTACCGAAGGATGTTCGTCAGACGGACGGACGTGAGAAGACGGCATGGTTCATGGACAGCGGATGCACGCGTCACATGACCTTCAAGTCAGATTGGATGGTGAATGTGAGGGAGTCGAGTGAGGATTATATACTGCAAGGTAACAGTGGGAAGTTACCAGTGACAGGAGAGGGTGATGTGGTGCTGCAGAGTCCGTATGGAGAGGTGAGACTAGAGAGTGTGCTGCTGGTTGAGGATTTGAAGGTGAACCTGATGAGTCAGTCACAGCTTGATGAGTTGGGGTGCAAGATATTTTATGACAGAGGCGAGGTTACAGTGTTTGGTCTTGAGTGGGAGAAGTATGCGGATGGTTATTTCAGTGACGGGTTCTATGAGATGAACGTGATAGCGATGGACGATAAGGATGAGATTTATGCGGATCCTGAGTATACTGAGATGGGAGAATTGGAGAAGTTATCGACTGAGGATGATGAGAGTGAGGACTCGAAGGATACGGCAGCAAGTGTTGAGGCAGCAGTGAAGCAGGAAGAGGAGATAGTCACCATGGAGGCAGCAACACTGAATGGTGGAGATGGAGATGGTGTCAACACTTTTGCAGCAGCGATCATGGTTAAAGATGAAGCAGTAAATGCGAAGTGTGTGGGAGTTGAAGCTGTGAAAGGGGGCATCATGGTGAAGGGATCAAAGGTGAATGCAACTGCAAAGGGGCGTGTGCTTACGAAAGAGGAACACGTTAAGGGGTGTGAGACCCGAGAGGTGTTGGGTGTTAAGACACCGAGGAGAAGTGAGAGGCTTAAGAAAATATGTCAAGGTTTGGATGACAAGGCGCTCAACTTCAAGACACGTAAGCAGAAGTTCAAGGTGCAGGAGATGCAGGGGAGCATGAAGCCAATTTAGACCCTGTGAAGGCTACAAGGAGCAGGGGAGGAGTGCGAATGGAGTTCGTGGTTGACGAACCACAGGGAAGATTGTTAGGGTTGGTTCGCCCAACCACGGAACCTACGGCGAAATGCGGAATGGAAGCGCGTGGGAGATTCTAGAGCTGAAACGGTGGAAATCGGCCTACGGTAGATATCGGGAGCTACGGCGTGAGAAGCGGGAGAGAGAATCGAGAAGAAATGTGCTAGAAGGAGGAAGAGAGAGGGAGAAGCATCGAGAAAGAGATTGACGGGGGGAAATTGTGGTCCGAGACCAAGGCGCGTTCGAGAAGGTTCCAGATTCGGTCTTGAGGAGTGTTCACCGAATTCGGTTCGGTTACGTGTGCGACTCGGGGTGAAACGAGGCGCACGCGGTTACTTGGGAAACAAGTGAAGTTACGAATCGCATTTTGTGTCTTGCCTGACTATAAACCTGTTTGTACTCATTCTGGAAATACAACATTGGACAACATTGAGATTCTGAAAATTGCTGAAGTGTGTATTGACAACTTCAAGCAGAGCTGCGCATATCGTTGGATTCGTGAGATCGTGGAGAACACGATAAGCAATAGCAAGTAGACTATTGCCGACTAAGGTGTTTACGATCCTAAGACCTCTAACGGGAGAGCCATGCATGGACGCGCCTCTAACGGGAGAGCCATGCATGGACGCGCCTCTAACGGGGGTGCTGCAAGCCGTGCAGGCAGATTGTTGCAGCATCAGCAGGGAGGAGCTCCGCCTGATCCAAGAAGCTCTGCAGCGCGCCGAGCAGCCCGGATTGAGTGTATCCGCATTGAGAACCGAGCAGCACGGCCCGAGTGACTCCTCGTTGCCCGACGCCGCACAGCACGCTGGGCTGGTTGATTCCGAGCCTGCTGTCGCTAAGAAGCGAGGGTTGAGGGAGTCCGAGTCAGCTTTACTAAGCGCGGAGCACACAGGGTTGGTGCGCACGGAGAGTGAAGGGGGGATTTGGAATGAGTCTCGTCTTTCCGTTCTACTGAGTCCTGCGCCGCTGCTGACTCAGCAGCTGCCGTCCAATCAGCGGTCTTCGCATCTCAGCACCTCTCCTCCACCTGCTTCTCGCTCCTTCCCCTCACCGTCCCTTCACCCCATTCACAACCCCTCAACGGCTTTCAAAGCTCACTACTCTCCCACCTCCGGACCAACTTTTGGCAGAAAACGAAGGCTTCTAGCCTCTCAGACGAACGATCTTGCTGATATGGACGCTTTTCAGGCAAGGAAGAGACTATGTGGTAACCCTTCTGCTGTTGATACTGGTCTCCCTCTTGCTGCAACTGCTGCTGTTACTGCAGCCATTGAACCACGCGCTGCTGCTGCTGCTGCTGTCTTCTCTACCAGCAGCAGCCTCGTTTTCGACGAAAGAAGGCCGGGCTGTATAGCCAAGCACGGTGCACTGTGGGGTGCAACAACAGCAGCCCTTCCTGCTATGGCCGCTCCTACCCGTGCACCACACGTGTCAAGAATCGCACCTGTTTCAGTGCCTTCCTGCTGGACTGCTGCTGCCACGGCTTCTGCGCCTGCTGCTGCAACCACTTGCCTAAGAGACCCCAGGGTGTGCCGCACACGTCCAGGCGTGAGCCCCACACACTCTGGCCTGGGCCCCACATACCCTGACGTGTGTCCCACACGTGCTGGCGTGTGCCTGCCACAACTCCCATCGGACCCACGTGCTGCTGCTCTCATGCAGCCTCTGCCACACCCCTTTGAGACGGAGCGTGGGGTGGGACTTGACGGGTTCTTGGACGCGTTTCCCTCCGTCGCTGCTGCTATTGATGATGGTGCTGCTACTCGTGGCCCTGTTGCTGCCACTGGTGGTGCTGCTGCTCCCATGCAGCCTCTGCCACACCCCTTTGAGACGCAGCGCTTCGAGACGGAGCGTGGGGTGGGACTTGACGGGTGTGTGGACGCTTTCCCCCCAGCTGTTGCTGCTATTGATGGTGGTGGTGGTGGTGGTGGTGGTGCTTCTGCTGCTGCTATTTATGGTCGTGGTGCTGCTGCTGCTGCTGATCGTGCTGCTCGTACTGCTGCTCCTGCCATGCCAGTCTCGTCCCTTGCACACCAGCAGCGGCACGCAGCTATTAGCAGCCTGTTGAAGCGACTCCAACCACAAGCACCTGACACCACCGGTCTGCACCACTCCGTCTCGCCTGAGCTGCGTTTTGAGCTGTCTCCAGAGCTGTCGCCTTTACCGCATTCCCTGAAACCGAATCCCCTAGTGCAATCAGGATCCGTCCAGGCACTCGCACGCAAACCCTTCACCCCAAACACCTCTGTACCGCAGACACACGCACAGCACCCCTTCATTCCAGACTCGCCTCAAATGCAGGCAGCAGCACTGCGTGGGTCTACAGCAGCCCAAAAGTCACCCCCAGGAGGAAGCATGGGCTTTAAGTCGCCCTCTGCAACCCCGTCTCCCTTGTCGCGGTCCCCGAGGGGAGGGGTGGGACGCGCAGGGGCTGTTGCAGCAGCAGGAAGGAGGAAAATTAGTGGGAAGAGTGCAACGGAGAAACAGCGGCGGTCCAGAATAACGTGAGTTGGGCAAGGGTCCGGTCCTGTCCCTTCCACTTCCATGCGTCTCTCAAAAGAGAGCGAGTGGAGGCGCTCAAGGCGTGTCCAATGTCTTGAGTCCACTTTAAGTCGATCCAATGTCCAGCCTAATGCGTCCCTTACCACCTGAACATGTCTCAAACGTCACTCCGGCCCCTCACGTTCCTGCTGTCCCTTCCTCTTCCCATGTGTGTCTCAAGTGAGCGATTGGAGGCCCTCAAGGCAGCGATACCAGCGGAGGTGCTACTGAGGCAGCAGGGCCGGGCAGGGGTCAGCAGTCGCACGCAGATAGCCCCTCTGCTGGATGCTGCCGTGGGGTTCATCGAGGGAATGCGCGAGTACAAGCTGGAGCTGGAGAGGCACCAGGATTCAGTTGCGCCGCCAGTCGCACACAGATAGACATTCTTCTGGATGCTGCATGGCATTTGGGAATTGCTGAGTACAATCTCGAGCTGGGAAGCAGCTTCAGCGTCATTGTAGTAGGTGGTGGTGACTGGGTTAACCCCTGTGCCTCCAATGGAATTCTTGAGGCTCACGCTGAGCCTCAGCTCTCCTCAGCCTTGGCCATTCTGAACGTCTCAAGCTCGAAGTCTTACACTCGAGCTGAAGGCTCGCGCATGAGCTGAGTCCAGGTGCTCTGCTGGCTGTTTCTGTTGCCTGCATGGCAAATGCTCCACAAAGGTGTTAGGGGCATCCAATTTTGTAGAACGTGTTTAGAAGTTCCGTTACTAGCCACTTCATGCTAGAAACAGCTACGGTACACTGATTGACTGCTGTGCTGTGAGATACAGGTAGCAGTGTCTGAAATAACGAACAGGGACCAGTTAATTGCCAATGGTACAGTATGATCCACCTTTATAAACTGCAGCTGCTTGATTCACTTAACATTAATTAATGACTACAGCTAATCCAGGAGTGCTTCAAGTCACTCGCAGCAGCAAACAATTACCGTAGTGGTAGAAGAAACCAGCATGTGTATAATTTTCTTCAACGTAACATGGTGTCCCAGTTACCCTTGTTGAAAGTGGAACCCCCCAGGAAATCCACCCGGGAAACCACCTGGGAATCCCCCTCCCCCTTGGAAGTGGAACCTGACGTTCTGGCCAAAGGGGAAGCCCCCGCCTCCCCCCTGCTGCTCTGGTTCGTCCACATCCTCTCCCCGGTCGTACCTCCCTCTCTTGTCCTCATCTCCCAACACCTGGAGGGTAAGAAGGGCGGGGGGGTGGGATATGGGTTAAAAGAATGGGGGAGTGATTTCACCCTCCCCCCTGCTGCTCTGGTTCGTCCACATCCTCTCCCCGGTCGTACCTCCCTCTATTGTCCTCGTCCCCTAGCACCTGGAGGGTTGAAAGAGTGAGGGTGAAGGGAGAAACAGGAAGTTTGTTTTGGAGCCCAAGGGTGTGAGGTGGAGTTATGCAACGTCTCTCTCCCCTAGCCACTCGGCAACCAGCATTTTGTAACTCATCCCCTTGGTTTACTCAACCCATCCAGGTGACCCCATTGACCCTGCGTTGATCACATTGACCTCAACACCGCTCTCTCTCACCTCATATGCAGCGGCCACCTCCCTAAACTGCTCCTCGGCCTCCGCCTTATTCTCCACGTTCTTATCTGGATGCCACTCGAGTGCTACAATCTTGCATCAATCCCTTGAATGGTCCATTGAATGTTGAACCTGTTCACCTCAACACCCCTCCCTCTCTCTCTCCCTCACCTCATAAGCAGCGGCCACCTCCCTAAACTGCTCCTCCGCCTCCTCCTTGTTCTCCACGTTCTTATCCGGATGCCACTTGAGCGCCAGCCTCTTATACGCCCTCTTGATGTCAGCAGCAGACGCGCTCTTGTCCAACCCCAGCACCTTGTAGTAGTCCTTTCGTTTGCTCATCTTTAACCCCCGCTCTGCTCTCTGAAACCCTGCGACAGCTTCACGGCTCTGTGTTGTGCAGGGTAAAGAGGGGAGAAATTTGGGGGTTGAGAGAGGGCAGAGGGGGGGTGAGGGAGGGTGGGAAAGGGAGAAGAGCGCTCTTGTCCAACCCCAGCACCTTGTAATAGCCCTTTCGTTTGCTCATCTTCAACCCCTGCTCCGCCCTCTGAAACCCCGCCACTGCTTCACGGCTCTGCGTAGGGTGATGGGGAGGAGGGGACGGGAGGGCATGGAGGGTGAGTTTTAGAGGATGGTGTGCTGGCTGTAGCCTGTAGGCATGTGACACGTAGGCATGTGACACGCAGGCATGTGACACGCAGGCATGTGACACGTAGGCATGTGACGCGTAGGCATGTGACACGTAGGCATGTGACACGTAGGCATGTGACACGTAGGCATGTGACACATAGGCATGTGACACATAGGCATGTGACACGTAGGCATGTGACACGTAGGCATGTGACACGTAGGCATGTGACACATAGGCATGTGACACATAAGCACGTGACACTCAAATAGAGACAACTCGCCTATAGATTGAATCATTTGCCCCACCTGCTGGTTCAGCTGGTGCGCATGCTTGAAGTCCCCAAGAGCGCCCTCCCACTCCTCACTTGCAATGCGCGCCTCACCACGCTGGTACGGCAGGCATATAGACAGAGATGGGGGAATGAAAATGGTGAAGAGGGGGTAATGCGTCACGATGAAGGTCAATGAGAGAAACGAGAGGGCAGCTTGACAATGAGAGAAAGGATGAAACACGTTTTTCGCGTCCTTTACTGGCAGCAGCAGACTCTGCAGCGGAATGGCAGTACGAGAAGGTTGCAATACTGACCAGCAGGAGAGCATCAAAGTGGTCGTTGCCTTCTGCCAGCACAGCCGAGCACGCCTCTAGAGTGACTTTCATACGCCTTATAAGGCGACTTTTGAGAAGCTTGGGGTACTGACCGAGCACGCCTGCGCCGCCTCCTTGCCTCGCCCCAGCTGCCTTTGAATTGACTCACTTAAAACACATCAGTAGGTTTGGGTACTGTATTACTGACCAGCAGCAGCGCATCAAAGTTGTCGTTGTCTTCTGCCAGAACCACCGAGCACGCCTGTGCCGCCTCCTTGCCTCGCCCCAGCTTCACCAGGCTCCTGCACAGCCCCAGTTGCAGCTTCGTGTTGTGCTGCTTGTGGTCGGGGATGATCTGATGGGGATGGGGGAGAGGGAAAAGGGAGTGGAAGACGCAAAGTAGTGGGGAACGGGATGTGAAAAAAGGGAGCTTGAGCAGGCTCCTGCACAGCCCCAAGTGCAGCTTCAGATTGTGCTGATGGTGGTCCGGGAGGATTTTAGAGGCGCCTCAAAAGACAACTTTTGAGGCGACTTTTGAGGCGCCTCAAAAGTGGTCACAGCCCCAGTTGCAGCTTCAGGTTGTGCTGCTTGTGGTCGGGGAGAATCTGATGGGGATGAGGGCGAAAGAAAAGGGAGTGAAAGACGCAAATCATTGCCCTTCTTTGTGGGAAGCAAGTGAGATGCACATGCAAGCACGTGAGATGGACATGCAAGCACGTGAGATGCACATGCAAGCACGTGAGATGCACATGCAAGCACGTGAGATGCACATGCAAGCACGTGAGGACGTCTGATCACGTCAGTTTTGAGTCTTGAGGCGCCTAAAAAGACGTCTCATCACTCCACATTCTGAACCTGTGAGGAGCCACACAGCCCCCACATACATACCAGGTGAATTTGAGAATTCTCAAAATACCCAGGAGCCACAGAGCCCCCACATACATGCCACAGAGCCCCCACATACATGCCACAGAGCCCCCACATACATGCCACAGAGCCCCCACATACATGCCACAGAGGCCCCACATACATGCCACAGAGCCCCCACATACATGCCACAGAGCCCCCACATACATGCCACAGAGGCCCCACATACATACCAGGTGAACCTGGCTTTGTGAACAGTATCCCTTCCTAGAACCCTCACCCGCACTTCAAAACATTACGAGGCCACACATAACTTCGAACGCACAAAGCCACAAAGCCAGACCAACCTCACTTCGTCTGCTGCTGCCTTGCAGGACCGTTTTCTCTCTTTTTTTCAGAGAGGTTCCTTCCAGTATACATTCGGAAATTCCCCCCCAAGTGATTCCAATATGACTGACCTCAAGTGCTGCCTTGAACTCGTCTGCTGCCTTGCGGAACTTGTTCTGCTCCAGCAGTTCCTGGGCCTGGTAGGTTGAATATTGAGAAGGGGGGGGGGGGGCAGTGGGAAGGGTGGCATCAAAGGTGCGTGTTCGGATGAGTTCAGACGACCACTCCAGCACCTGCTCTGCTGCAGCATTTACTGGGCCTGGTTGGTTAAAACCACGTGAGGGAGAGGGGGACAAGTGGGAAGGGAGGCATAGGAAAGCACGTCAAGTTTGGTCCGAAATAAAGGGGACAAATCGAAATTCCCTTCGGCTCCTCCGCTTCTCCTTCCAAATGAACCCACTCCCCTCCCCCTTCCCACATAGATTTCTCTCTTATTCCCGATTCACAGCTTTGGTTTTCTTCTCCGGATTCTTTAAACTGCCTGTACGCCCGCTTCAGCTCTTTGCCTTCTCTTACCAACCAGACATTCCTTCCCTTACCCCCCTCAACTCACCGCTTTGGTTTTCTTCTCGAGGTTCTTGAGCTGTCTGTAGGCCTTTTTAAGCTCCCCATGCTCGGGGTCCGACCGAAGACCCGCCTGGAAGTGCCTGGACGAAGGGGAGAGGCGGAGAAACCCCGATAAGGCGGAGAGCAAGAAGAGTGAGGGGGGAAGAGGGGGACGGGAGAGAGGGGGACGGGGAAGAGGGGGACAGGAGAGAGGGGATGGGAGAGCGGGGGATGGGAGAGAGGAGAAAGGGAAGAGGAGAAGGGCAGGGACTCTATGAAACCGTAGGGACAATTCTTTTACAAAGTTTGTGAGATGCGGGGGGGAGAGGGGTCCGGGCGAAAGGAGGAGCGAGAGGGGGGAAGGAAGAGAGAAGTGGATACGTGAAAGCTTACTTAGCTAATTGTGTCGTCATTGGCCGCATTGTACTTACTTCAGTGCGTGGTCGTGGTCGCCGTTGTACAGATACGCCCTCCCCCTCAACAGCAGCCCTTCCAGGTCATTCTCATCCGATTTAAGAGCCCTGCCCGCCTCTGCAATCACGCCAGGGTAGTCCCCCTTCGCCATAAGCAGCTTCGCTTTAAGCAACAGCGCCTCTTTACAGTCCGGAACTACACTGAGCACGTCATCCTCTAACCGCTTCTCCACCTCCTCCCCTCCCCCGGACTCTACTGCGCTTTTAACGGCCGCTAGAGCCTCTGCTGCTGCCTTGGTTGACGCTAGCTCCTTCCGCGCGCTGGTATGCGACGGCTTTAACTCTATTAGCTTCTCAAAATCGGCGGAAGCTGCTGAGAACCTGCATGTGGAAAAAAGTGATGAGCAAAGGGGGAGGAACAGTGAGGAAAGGAATGGATAGGGATACAGGTGCGCCCGACGACCAATTGGCAGAATTTGACAGCCTACTGGCACAATTGACGGCCTACTGGCACAACTGACAGCGAACACGGCTTTTGTGCAGGTACCCCTGCAGGATAAAAGGCTCCACCTCAATGGCCATGTCCAGATCCGTCTCTTTGGGCGCCTAACGACCAATTAGGCAGAACCTGACGGCCTACTGGCAGAATTGCCAGCTTACTGGCACAGCTGACGACGGAGTCGGCCCCTGTGCAGGTAGCCCTGCAGAAAGGACGGCTCCACCTGGATGGCCATGTCTAGATCCGCCTCTGCCTCCCTGTGCTTCCGCTGTTGCAAATACACCGCCGCTCTCTTCGTGTATCCCAGGCCCGTGCTGGGATCAGCTTCTGGAGGGTGAAAACGGGATGTTTTGAGGGAGGAAGGGCATGTGAATGAGTACCTCAATCGGTCAAGGTTTCCAATGTCCTATAAAGTAGACTGTCCGTTGGATAGGTTTTGCGACGCGGAAGATCATACCGGTACAGGTGCTGATTCACCAACTTCGCAAGCAAGAAGTGGCGATGGATTGTTGTGAGACTGACCGATAAATGCGGTGTAGTGCCGCAGCGCGGCAGAATACTGTCCTGCTGACACCGCCGCATCGCCGGATTGCAGAAAAGAGCCTGATTGGGAGAAAAATTGCGATTCATGACACAAACGCAGGGAGCAAAGTTATCGGGTTCGGTCTAAGAGTTAAGGAGTTGCCCATATAAGCTGGATCGGGGATACATGACACAAAGCTTCTAGTACCATTAGTATCCGTCAATGCGATGCACGCTGTCAAATGGCTGCGAACCTCGCTAAGCGACAGGAGGTTGTCAACCGTACCTGGATCGGCTGCCGATGCAGCGACAACGAGGAAAGTCAGCACACTGATATTTATACATTGCCGCGAAAGTTCTGCAATAACTTCATAATTTCTGCTCCTACTCCACCTCCCGCAACCGCTACCATCAATCATGCTGCTACGGATCGCGTAAAGTGAACTTACAACTGATAAGGCACCTGGACTAGGTGAGGGAAAATTAACCTAAACGGTGACAGCACCCAGGGTCTGCCTTCTAGGATCACACCTTAATCGGCAGATTTCACTGGAATCGGACTGCAAGGGAACTAGGCCTATCCAGTGAAACAATAGCTTGAGATTTGGTGATCAATGGCTTCCTGTGCGACAATGGACCTTGAGATTTGCTTTGAGAGATGGTCGGAATTTGTGATGTGAGTAATTTCCGAGGCTTGGGTTGGGTGTCCGAAAGATGGCGACTGCTTCGCGAAGAGTCGTTCACCAGCCAGTGTAAGCCATCTGGACTGCGACTGGGAGAGATTTTCTTCTGGAACCTGACACAGTTCCAATTGTGTTTTGCTACCACTGATTGGTAGACCAGAAACGATTGACGTGTATTTCACAGAAGCATTTCCCGGTTATGGCGTGCCCCTATTTGAGTACAGTCAAGCAAACAATGTGTAGCTAATCCGGTTTCCCACCAAATTATAGAAATTTGTTTTTGTGTAAATGAGGCAGTTTTTTTACTATTTTATTGCTCATTATTCGTGTATTTTACTTTTCACCCATGAGGAACTAGCATTTTAGTTATGTGAAGGATAGTTCCCAGTATCTTAGGTGACTTAATTCTAAACCATGTAACTCCGTGTCTGACTACCTTACCGAGTTTGTGTGTACTGAGTGCAAGCAAATCGTGCCGTTCAGTTTACAAGCTTATCGACGGTTAACCGTGTTTTCAGCAAGACTTGGATAATCTGTGGCGCTCGTGATTTACACCAAACCAACCACCCTTGATTGTGGGAATTGAACGGAACCCGAGCCAGGTTGGTGTGAAAATCCAGTGGATAGACTTTCGCGAACTCCTCCACTTCGCCAAACTTCAACCAATCCCTTGAGGCCCGCAGCATTCCGCCTGGGCTTAGCTGAAACCCTCGTCGCTACTGTATAAGCTACGTTCTTGCCAACCACCACAACATTGGTTTTGGCTGGTCCTTTTTGCCTGGTCTTAGCTGAAACCCTCGCCGCTTCCTGAAAATACCACCTGCAGCAGTCCAAACCCTCGAGGGTTTGCTCCACCAAATCTCAAGAAACATAACGGTCGGGACTCGGCAGAAAATATTACACACCTTGAGAGGCCCATTTTTCACCACCCAGAGTTGGGAACTCAGCTAATATTTTTTTCTGTGCGCTTCTAGACTAGAGTTGCAGCGTGCCTCAGTAATTCGCAATTTGGTTCCCAATCCAACTTGTAGCTTTTGTGCGGCTCGATTGGTTCTACAACTAGAATATTCTCGCCATGGAGCTGGGCCGCGATCCCGCTTATTATACCGGCCCGGGAGCATCCGGCGGAGGATCTGGGTATCCTGGCAGCGGTGGCTCTGCGTATCCTGGCGGAGGTGGTGGTTCCGCGTATCCTTCCCACGGCCTTTGGAGCGACGAGGAAGATGAAGAAGACTACATGGGGGAGGAAGGCGACGAAGGGGACGACCTTCCGGACTCCAAGAAACGCAAGCGCGACCGCGGAAGCAACTGGAGCCTCGCGGAAGCGCTCTGGTTCGCGGAAGGCCTCAAATCGCACCAGCAAATGCAGGACAGCCTTGGAGAGAACGCGCTCAAGTGGGGAAAAGTCGAGCAAGGCAAATACCTCGTGAAATGGATGGCTTCGGGCCGCGCTCCCGGCGGTGCGGTGTACCATCGTTCGGCGCAGTCCTGCATCAGCCGCCATTACAACACGAAACTTCTTTTCCGGAAGATCTTTCGTTGGCAGCGGCAGGTTCAGCAGGAGCAACGCCGGAGGCTGCAGATGGAAGGACGCGCCCCTCCTCCTGGGGATAACTCGCTGGACGCCGCGAATCCCGGGTACTTTTGGCGGCTGAGCGTGGAGGAGCGCGAGGCGATTGGCATGCCGCCGCATTTCCCGCGAGAGTTATTCGACCATATGATGGAGTGGATGCCGATTGCGGTGCATGCGCGGCAGGAGCAAGAGCGGACGCACCCGCAGCAGCAGCCCGGTCAACGCGGAATACAGCAGCAGCAACAGCCTGGTCAACTCGGTCAACGCGGTCAACGCGGGTCAACGAGTCAACCCCGCGGGGGCGCGGACGGGAATCAGGCTGGAATGTGGGATGTCGGCACGAGCTCCGGAGGGAATGTTGGGGCTTCTAACATGCCCGGCGGGATGCCCTACGTCCCTTCGACTGCGGAGGATCCATATCTCGTGGCGCTGCGCGACCAGGCGAGTCTTTTGCTGGGGCCGACCGCGAGTCAAGCGGCAGGAGCTGGTGCAGGCGGGGAAGGACTGGGCGCTGGAGCGGGGGATGAGGGGGACCCGTTGATTTCGAGGTTGGCGGCGGCGACGGGGCCTGGCGCAATGGGCGGCGGAAGGCACGGCAGTCAGGGAGACTTGCGCGGGGCTCCAGCGGCAGGCGGGGGGAGGAGAGGACGCGGTCGCGGAAGAGGCGGCGGAAGGGGGCGCGGTGGAGGCGCAGCGTCCGCCGGCGGATTCGGGTTTGCGGGCGGGCAAGAAGACGACCTGATGACGTGGCGAGTCAACGACGGCGTGCTGTCTCGGCTTCCGGGGTCGTCGCGCGAGCCGCGCTCGGGCGGAGCGCTGGGGAACGACGCAATGGTCCGCGCGGCTCACGTGATTGCGGGGGCGATGGGCAGGAGCGAAGACGCGCTCGCGAAACGCCACAAGCTGGAGACGCGCGAGCGAGAAACGCAGGAAAAGGCCCGCAAGGCCGAGGCAAACCAGCTCAAAACCTACCGGAATAGCGATCTGGGGCTCAAAAAGGAAAAGCTGATGCTGCTGAAGCGACAGGTGGAGGCTCAGGAGAGGCTGGTGGTCCTGGAAAAGCGGCGGGAGAAGCGGGAGAAGCAGCAGGTGGCGGCGGTTACGGGGATGGCGCAGGCGGTTGGGGCTGCTGCTGCTGCGGTGCATGCGGTGGTGGCGGCTTCCGGGAAGATTCCAGGCCTGGCTGGGCTGGATATCGAAGAGTTGGTTAAATCGAGCGTGGAGAAGCTTAAAGCGAGTATGGTTGTGGAGGAAGAGGAAGAGGAGGAGGAGGTGGTTGTGGGAATTGGTGGTGGTGGTTTTGGTGGGTTTGGTGGTGTTGGTGGTGTTGGTGCGGAGGAGCAGGAGGATGGGGAGAAGGGAATGGAAGGAGTGGGTGGTGTGGAAGGGGGTGAAGCGGAGAGGGAGCGCGAGGAGGATGGGGATGAGCGCGAAGCGGCTGCTGTGGTGGAAGCAGGGCAAGGGCAAGAGGTGACGGGCGCGGGAGGGGACGTAGAGGGAGCAGAGGGAACCGCGGGAGCAGAGGGAGGATGGCTGGTTGGTGAAGAGGCTGAGGGGGGGAAAGTAGAGGGGGGGGAAGTAGAGGGAGGGGAGGTGGAGGGAGAAGGGGCGGGAGAGGCAGGAGCAGGTAAGAAAAGTGAAGATGGCGTGGGGGGAGGCAGTGTTGTGAAGGAGGGCGTTGCTGTGAGTGAGGGTGATGATGGGATGAACGTGGATGGGGGAGGGGATGCGGGTAAGGAAGGGAAGGATGGGCCGGCAGTGGCAGGAGCGAAGGAAGAGGGCGCAGAGGGAGGAGTGGGCGGGAAGGGCGAGGAGGGAGAGGAGGGTGAGAAGGGGAAGGAGGAAGGGGTGCAAGAGAAGGGTGCAGAAGAAGGAAAGGAAGAGCAAGAGGGAAAGGCGGGCAGTGAAGGGAAGGAGGTTGTTGATGGTATGGAGGTAGACAGTGCGGTAACTGGTGGTACAAATGTTGCCGCTCCTGATGCAAATGCTGCTGCTGCTGATGTGGATGTTGCGGACAAGGATGCAGATGCAGCAGGAGAGGGTATTGATACGAAGCAAGGTGGTGAGACTGAGATTGAAAAAGAGGCTGAGAAAGAGACGGGAAACGAGACCGGGGCGGCTGAGACTGGGATTGAGGGGGGTGTGCTTATACTGGAGGCGGCTGAAGGGGCGTCTGCTGAAGAGAGCAAGGAGGAGCAAGGTGGAGATGACAAGGTGAAAGAAGATACAAAAGAGGGAGTGGCGGTGGGGGCAGATGCAGGGAAGGAAGGTGAGGATGGTGCGGCTGATAAGGGTGGGGCTGGGGGTGAGGAGGGTTCGAAGGGAGGGGATGGTGCTGCTGCAGGGGAGGCAGCTGGTGGGGAGGAGGGCGAAGGGGGAGGAGCAGAGGGTGCCAGTAAGGAAGGTGACAGTAAGGGAGGTGAGGGTGCTGCAGGGGATGCCATGGCAGTGGATGGTGCAGCAGCAGGGAGTGAGGCAGCAGAAGCAAAGCCGTGACTCTGAGGAGGACGCTTTGCCTCAGAGTGAAATGGAACAGGGTGAAAGGGAATGTTTGCTGCAGCTATAGGCTGAACTGACAGTGGTGTGGGGCATGGGAACCTGGGTGGTGGGGTTGGGGCACAAGTAGAGAGGGGAGGGGCTTTGGGTTGGGGCGTCGCGTCGCCCTTTCCTCCGTATTTCTGGATTCCGAATTGTGTTTTCAGTTTGCCCGAGAGCAGTGGCAGGGAATGTTTTCTGCGTTACCATAACACGCCAACTCTTTTTCCTTACTGTAGTTTCTCATTTGCTGGAACTGTCTTCCTTTGTCTTTGCACTTTCTAACGTTAACTTCCATAAACTTATTGCACTGTAGCTGTTTCATCCAGCTGGTCTTCTGTGCTGCTCATGTCAAGCAATACACAAAATTGGGAGTCAGCTCAGCAACACGACAACCCCACCCCAGTTAGTAAATCCTGCCCTAAAGGCCTCTAACGGGCTACACGCCTTGCTTTTCCTTGGAACACAGAAAGCATTCTCCTCACTTCCCACCCCTGCTGCCTCCAGCAGCCATACCACCTGCTCAGCTATACAGACCTCAACCCTGCTTCTCTGGGAACACAACAGGAAGCTTCCTCCTCGCCTCCCACCCCGCAAACAGCCTGCTGGCAGCACCCGCCTCCTCCTCCCCTGCTGCCTGCAGCAGCCCCACCACCTGCTCTGCTATAGAGTCCCACACTAAGAAGTCTGACCAATTAGTCACTGTAGAAGTCACAGCAGGTGTAGACGTTTTCACTGTAGAAGTGGGGCCAGCAGGGGCGGTGGAGGGGCCAGCAGGGGCGACCCAGGGCTTCTCACTGACGTAATGGATGAACACGGGAGGGGCCTGGCCCTGTAATGCCTCATCCACCACCCATGATATGGCTCCGAACCTGGTGAGGGGGGGGATAGGAGGGGGGAGAAGATTGAAGGAGACAGAAGAGGATAAAAGAGGAACGGTGAGAGGAGTGAAAGAGAGTGGATGAGTCCAAGAAATGCTACTCACCACAGTGCAAACAATCACTTTAAAGCGGCATCTGCAACTCACCTTGCTCCCAAACGCCCAAGAAACGCCACCTACCGCATGTGCACGCGTGTCCATGGCACCCCATCGGGCCAGAAAGAACTTGGAGATGAAATACCCATCGGGCCCTGCCATGGTTGCACTGATCGTCACCATGCATGCATGCACCCCTCATGACGATGCATCGAGCATACATCTCACCATGCATGCACCCCTCATGACGATGCATCGAGCATACATCTCACCGCATGTGAACATGCGTCCACGGCACCCCTCGGTCGAGGAAGAACTTGGAGATGAAATACTCACAGGCGCCAGCCATGGCTGCATCCCTCGCTACCATGCACGCATCCCTCATGACCGCATCTCACCGCATGTGAACATGCGTCCACGGCACCCCCCGGTCCAGGAAGAACTTGGAGATGAAATACTCATCGGGGCCCGCCATGGCTGCATCCCTGGCTACCATGCACGCACACACACATCACATCACATCACATCACTCAACATCTGCACATGCGAGCAGCACACATACCGCATGTGCACGTGCGTCCACGGCACCCCCGCGGTCGAGGAAGAACTTGGATATGAAGTATTCATCAGGGCCCGCCATGGCTGCACGCACCCCATGCCCACACGACTCACCGCATGTGAACATGCGTCCACGGCACCCCTCGGTCCAGGAAGAACTTGGAGATGAAATACTCATCCGGGCCCGCCATGGCGTCCCAGTGGCCGATGGGGTGGTGCCTCGCGCACCACTGCAGATCGTCGAACAGACGGCGACTTGGGGAGAGAAGGAGTGTGCAGCCTGGTTGGTTGGGGGTTGTAGGAAGGGGGGAGGAGGAGGAGAGAGATAAAGGAGAGCAAGTGGCCGATGGGGTGGTGCCGTGCGCACCACTGTAGGTCGTCAAACAGACGGCGACATGGGGAGAGAAGGAGCGTGCAGCCTAGGGTAGGAAACGGGTTGTGGGAGGAGGGGAGTGGCGGGGGGAAGAGGAGATGCTTGATGGAATGGTGCTGCATACGCATGAGGTGACTTGTAAGTCGACTCAAAAGTCACCACGTGGTGATTTCGATTCTCCCTTCCTCTCCTTCATCCTCTCACCTTACCTTCCCAGCATTTCCCAACCCTCACCACTTACCTCTCATGGCATAGAACAATCCTTCCATGGCTCACCTCATGTCATATCCGCCAGCAACTGCCGTCTCCCATTCCTCCTCACCATTCCTTCCCAACCAGCAGCTACCCCCCCCCCCCCCCCAACCCCCCCTCACCCTCACCTCTCATTGCATAGAACAGCCCTTCCATGACGGCAGCTTCAGCCCTTCCCTGGCCGTCATCATCCGCCAGAAGCTGCCTTTTCCCATCCTTCCTTCCCTCCCTCCTCTCACCACTCCTTCCCAGCTATCCCTTCCCCCCTTCTCTCTCTTCTCGCCACTCCTTCCCGGCTATCCCTTCCCCCCTCCTCTCTCTTCCTCACCGCGCATCGCGTAGAACAGCCCCTCCATGGCTCGCCTCACGTCATCATCTGCCAGAAGCTGCCCATGCAGCCGCTGGTTCGCCCCCAGGTCCCTGCCAGACGCGGTTCAATGGGGTACAGTAAGGTGGGGTGCAGATAGGAAAAGTGGTGGGCTGCGATGGAGATGGAAACAGTGAGGTGCAGAGTCGGTTCGTCGGTGCAGAGTGGTGAGACTCTGGATATGCAGAGTCTCATAATCGTGCAGCCGCTGGTTCGCGCCCAGGTCCCTGCAAGAGGCAGTTCAATGGGGTACAGTGGGGTGTGGGGCCGATAGGACCGGAATGCAGAGTCTGCCAGGTGCTGTGCTGCCCATGCAGCCGTTGGTTCGCCCCCAGGTCCCTGCAAGTTCAACACAGTGGGGTGCGGTGGAGACAGGATGAGCTGGGTGCATGCAAGCACGCACCGGCGGTAGAGGTCTAGGATGCCAGCCGGAGCACGGCAGGCAAACAGAGAATCGGGATCCGGGAAGGCAGAGGAAGAGGCCGCATTCTGCTGCTGCTGCTGCTGCTGCTGCAATTTCTGTGGAAGTTGCTGCTGCAATTGCTGCTGTGGTTGCTGCTGCTGCTGGCCTTGCTGCTGATGATGCACCATGGAGAGGACGGATGGCGAGGAGGCAACAGGGTGCAGAGGGGTGGAGGTGGGTATGGAGGGGCGGAGAGAGGTGGAGACAGGTGCGGCGGCACAGTGTGAACGGGGGGGGAGCGAAGTAGGGGGATCATGGGATGGAAAAGGAGGAGCAGCAGCTGAAGCAGCAGTTGTAGCAGGGGCAGCAGCAGCGGAAGGGCAGCTATCAAAGCCCGTCTTTTTTCTCTCTGCTTCGCGCCACAATTTCACTCGTTCCAGCAGGGTCAGCCCGTCCCCTTGAATATTTTCCAGGGTAAAAAACCCCGACACGCAGACCATATCCGCATCCAAAAACGCAACCTTCTCATACTGCTCCAACCGCAAAACAGTGAACTTAGTTAAGCACGCACTTAGCCACGGGTTATACATATGTCCAAACCGAACCTGCCCCCGCTGCCGAACCCCCTGCCGAGCCTCCAGCCTCGGCACAACCACCACGTGGTCCCACACCTCCCCGAGAGCTGCAGTAACATCCGAAGCAATGTCGTCTGTTACCATGCAGACGAGATCCGCGAAAGTGTTGGCGAGTCTGAGGGAATGACCTAGCACGAGTGCCCCACACGCATACACCTCGTTCTGCATCACCAGCGTTGCCCATGCGTACCGCCCGCGCCCTTGCTGCTCCGTCACACTGCCGTTCCCACTGCCGCTGCCGCTGCTGCTGTGACAGCCGACATTGCTGCTGCTGCTGCTGCTCCTGCTGCTGCTGCTGCTGCTGCTGCTGCTGCTGCTGCTGCTGCTGCTGCTGCTGCTGCTGCTGCTGCTGCTGCTGCTGCTGCTGCTGCTGCTGCTGCTGCTGCTGCTGCTGCTGCTGCTGCTGCTGCTGCTGCTGCTGCTGCTGCTGCTGCTGTGGCTGGAGCTGGTGATTCGGCTGGTGGCATTAGCAGCGTTGCTGCACTCACTGCTGCCGCTGCTCGTGGCGCTGCTGCCCTCATCAGCCACCCGTAGCCTCTGATAAGCAGCTGATAAGCCATCATGACTTGATAAGCTATCAGGCCTTGATAAGCTATCAGGCCTTAATAAGCTATCATGCCTTGATGATCTATCGACTGCTGGCACTTTATCACCTGGCGCCAATTTGCCAGCAGGTGTGGGGTTACTGTAACCAGCTGCATTGGCCCCTCTTCCCCCGCCATTATCACTCCGCCCACTGTACGAAGTTGCTTCCCCCCATCTCGACGCCCTCCCGCCGCCTCCCCCCCATCCCCCGCCTCCCCCTCTTCCGCCGCTTCCCCCGCGCACCCCCCATCCCTCCTCCGCGCGGTTGCTTCCCCTCGCGTCGCCACGCGTCTTCCAATCGCCGCCGCCAGCGCCGCTGCTGCTGCCGCCGCCGCTGCTCCTCGCGTCGCTGTTTCCCCACGCGTCGCTCCCACGGCCAGTCGCTGCCTGCCTGCCCCTGTTCGAAGGACCCCACCCGCCGCTACCCCCGCCACTGCCGCCACCGCCGCCGCCGCCGCCGCCGCCGCCGCCGCCGTCACTGTTGCCGCCGCTTACGGCCTTTCTTATCCATGAATTCTCGCTGGCGGTGCCAATGTGATTGAAGCGCCCGCCAGATGCGGCGGCATTTGCGGGTAAACTTCCGCTGCTGCTGCTACGGCTAGGCCGGAACTTGCCGCCAGGAGCGGGGGATGACGTGTCGTTGGTGCTGTGGTGCCTCTGGTGATTGGTGGACATGGCGTATCCAGTGCGTGAGTTTTGTGCACAACACCTCTGGTAGTTGTGCAAGAAACCTATATTGTACGGAACTCAGTACTTTCTGTGCAGCGTGTTTCGATGGGATTAAGGGACATCATGGAGAATGGTTGGGATGGGTTGAATGGGTTGTGACGGTTCTAGATTCGTGATGCGCGACAGCATGAAGTGCGGTTGAGTTCAGGGGGGTTGAGGATGGTACCGTGGGGTAATCTACATTTGAACTCATGCCATATCTTTAATCATCATTATATAGCACTATCAGTTTGCTCCTATTTTGGGTATACAACAAGAATGCCTTCGATATCCATAAGTCAGTCAGGGCTGACCTGATAACTCCGTATGTTAACGAATGTGATCGGTAAAGCGTATATTTCGTGTGTGAATGGCGATTGGGTCAGAGTCTGTTCTTTTCGCGCGAACTACAACCAATCAGACATCTCTGCACCACATGCGGCGCAGTTCACGTGCTCGCGACCAAATCCCCATGACCCGTCCCGCTCGCGGAGTCACTCGTGGCAGCAGGTCGATCCTGACGGCTGTCCAGCGCATATCCTTTTTGCCGAGTCTTCAGGAGCTTTACCTCAGCTGCGTCCCAGCAATTGGGCAACCATGCTGCTGATTTGGAGACTACACCACGCGAGCACCAATCAGCCTTGTTCGGAAAACAGCGCATCAAGAAGATCTCCTTCCGCCTCCATTTTTACGGACAGCGTGGCACGCCGGCATGTCGGCTCCAACCAGCCAAGCACTTCCCATACCACCCCCCCGTGCTTGGAAAGGTTGATCATTGCGCCAAAACTCATCGATTTTCGCTGCCCTGCTGGCAGTGCGCAACGTATGAGGCCTTGAATTAGATCTACATTCATGATCTACAGTTCCTTCTTCTCCAGCAGCGCGTCGCGACACTTGCATGCAACATGCCCTCGTGCGAGCAGCACATTGCAAATTCTCAACACAAAAGCAAACAGCAAACCAAGCTTTCACTAGAATTCCGTTTGGTGTTCGTCATTCGATCACCAAAGGCCTTGCCCACTGCGCAGCAGTTACCTTCCATTTCTCCAGTTACCGATCGGCGAGCAATCACGCACTCTACTACAGTGACTCACGCGTGTTGCGATAGCTTTCGCCTAAATGGCTTCGCTCATGGGCATCTCCGTCACCGCGCCGTCCGTTGCGGTGTCTGGTTCGTCTTCACTTGAAACACAGTCTCGCATTCTCAAGGCAGGTTCCCTTCCTTTTCTTCGACCCGTTTCCCGAACATGATTGTTGCTATTATATGCTCCCCGCTAGTGTGTTTGTTGCCGGTAGCATGAAAAATTAGTAACCCCTTTTCTTGACACAACCTCCTCGCGGAATGTTTGTGCAGTAATAACACTTTTCGCGGTTCTTTTTTATATATTTGCAGGGAGGAGCTCGTCTCGCGCACGCCAAGGCAGCTCGCCCGACTCAACGCCGATCGCAGAACAAGACATGCGTCGCAGTGCGTTCCATTATACGTCTTCGTTAGTTCCCTTCTTGCTTTCCCCTTCATTGGTTTTCCCGAATGTCTTCGCTCATCCGGTGTGCGTGTCGAGGATTCGGGTGCACGCGAGTACTGTATGTTGCCTTCATCGTGCACCCCGCCCCACATTCGCACATACATACCTGTTCTTCTCGTACCTCCCCGCCTCCCGCCGTATTCCCGTAAACCTTGACCTACCCATTGACACCTGAGTCGACCCACATGCAAACCAATTCCTGCTGTCCGGATCTGCGTCTCTCCTCTCTCCTCTTATCCCCGCAGGCGTTCGATCCGACCAACCAGCCGCGCGAGTCCACGCGAGCGGGCGATGCGCTGCAGAAGGTGATGAACGTCCCCGATTTCGCGCCCGACGACATCTTCGTCGCCAAGCTCAAGCCGCGCGAGGTCCTTCGCAACCTCTCCGTCGCTGGTAAGACTTGCATCCGCCCTCGCTGCCCCTGATGGCCTCTGTCTCTCCCGGGGCCGCATTGCGCCTCTGTCGCCGTGCGCTAGCCCGACGATATCTTCGTCGCCAAGCTCAAGCCCCGCGAGGTCCTGCGCAACTTCTCCGTCGCGGGTATGACTTGCATCCACAACCCACGCGCCCTCGCTGTCCCTTCTCTTTCGCCATCATGACTTCTGTCTCTCCCGGTGCCGCATTGCGCGCCTGTCGCCGTGTGCTAACCCGACGTTCCTCCTGCTTCTACTTTCCCTTTCTCCCGCGCAGAGCTGTATGAGCAGGCGATCGCGCAGGAGGAGGGCAACTTCATCGTGTCGACGGGCGCGCTGGCGACGCTATCGGGCCAGAAGACGGGGCGGTCGCCCAAGGACAAGCGCGTCGTTAAGGAGCGCGCCCACGCCGAGGACCTGTGGTGGGGAAAGTGAGTACTCGCGGGATTCAGGGCTTTGTTCGGGGTTCAGGGCGCGGGTCAAGGTTTGGGTTTTGGGCGTTCCGGTCTCCTGAGAGGTCTGTGTAAAGCTGTTGTTTCAATCATTGCCTTGACTCTTGGGCCCCATCTCGAAGTTCGGTGACTTACATTATGTCCTTTTGTGTGTGCACGTGCGTGCGCCTGGCTGTGCGTGCGTGTGTTTGATTGCGTGCGTGTGTTTGATTGCGTGCGTGTGTTTGATTGCATGCGTTTGCGTGTGCGCAGAGGGTCGCCCAACTACGAGATGGACGAGTACACGTTCATGGTGAACCGCGAGCGCGCCATCGACTACCTCAACACCGTCGGCAAGGTGCGCTGTCCCCGATACAAGCCAGCTCGATTTCGATATCAGTCATAACACCTCAACCAACGGGCTGGTTACACACTATCAGTCGAGCAGGCCATGTAGCGGAGCAATGGGGACTCGAAACAGAAGAAATTCCTCACACCGTCTGTCATATTTGTACTTGCTGATGCTCGTTCTTCCACCTCCTTGATAGTGGAATGACTCTATTTTTAACGGTTTAGACTACGGTTTTCTTCTTATCCCTCAGCTCATTATTCCCCCTCCTCATTTACTTGGATCCAATCCCGTGCTGCCACGTGGCTGCAGGTGTACGTGCAGGACATGCTGCTGGGGTGGGATCCGAAGCTGCAGATCAAAGTGCGCATCGTGTGCGCGCGTGCCTACCACGCGCTCTTCATGCACAACATGTGAGTGGATGCATGGTGCGATATTGCACGTTCATGTTTTCCTGCACCCTTTATATCTGAAGACCAAGTTCGTCCTGGCCGTTTCACCCCTCACTCCTCTCCTGTTTCCATGCGCCCTTCATCTTCACAATCTACAAAGCGGGCCACTTCCCCGTCAACTGGCACTCCTCCCTCTCACCTCACTCTCCCGTGCTCCTCTCCTTCTCCCCTTCAAACTTCCCAGGTGCATCCGACCCACCCAGGAGCAGCTGGACAACTTCGGAGAGCCAGTGTTCACGATCTACAACGCGGGGCACTTCCCCGTGAACCGCCTGAGCAAGTTCATGACGAGCACGACGAGCGTGGACATGGACCTGAACCGCATGGAGATGGTCATTCTCGGGACGGAGTACGCCGGGGAAATGAAGAAAGGACTCTTCTCCCTCATGAACTACCTCATGCCCAAACAGGTGGGTTCCTAGTGGTGGGCTTGGTGTGCAGTGGTTGGGCACAGAGCACTAGCAGCACGACGAGCGTGGACATGGACTTGAACCGCATGGAGATGGTCATTCTGGGCACCGAGTACGCGGGGGAGATGAAGAAGGGGTTGTTTTCCCGCAAGAACTACCTTATGCCCAAGCAGGTGGGTGATGTGGCACCAGGTGTGCTTCAATGTGACTGTGACTGCCTTGTAGCGAGTGTGCCTAATTGTGACTCTTAACAGCTGTGCATGGGAATGTGAGCAGAGCGAGAACGAAGCACGACTGAGTGTGAGTGAAACAAAAAATGAAGGCACTCCATTCAGCATTTGAAATGTTGCCATAGGTATCCCCTCTTGTCTCCTGCAATGTTCTCTCCCTGTGGCTTTCCCCCCTCCCTCCCCTTTCAGGGCGTGCTGTCGCTGCACTGGGGTGCCATCATGGGCAAGAGCGGAGATGTCTCGCTCTACTTCGGCCGCACCCTCGCCCTGCCAGCTCCACAGCTCCCCACCTAGTTTACATCTCCCCTTTCCCTTCACCTTTCTCCTTCCAGGGCGTCCTCTCGCTGCATTCCGGAGCCAACATGGGTAAAGACGGCGATGTTTCCCTCTTCTTCGGCCTCTCGGGCACGGGCAAGACAACCCTCTCCACCGATCCGCACCGCCTGCTGATCGGCGACGACGAGCACACGTGGAGCGACGACGGGGTGGCGAACATCGAGGGCGGCTGCTACGCCAAGTGCATCAACCTCTCGCGCGAAAAGGAGCCCGATATCTACAATGCAATCCGGTTTGGAGCGGTGCTGGAGAACGTCGTCTTCGACGCGCACACCCGCGTGGTGGATTATGACGACAACAGCATTACCGAGAACACGCGCGCGTCGTACCCTATCGAGTATATCCCCAATGCGAAGATCCCCTGCACGGCGGGCCACGCGACGAACGTGATTCTGCTCACCTGCGACGCGTTCGGAGTTCTCCCGCCCGTCAGCCGCTTAACTCTCGAGCAGGCTATGTACCATTTCATCTCGGGTTACACGGCCAAGGTCGCGGGTACCGAGATGGGCGTGACGGAGCCGGAAGCGACCTTCTCCGCGTGCTTCGGAGCCGCGTTCCTGATGTGGCATCCGTACAAGTACGCGTCGCTGCTGGCGGAGCGCATGAAGAAGCACGGGACCACGGCGTGGCTCGTCAACACCGGGTGGACGGGCGGGAGCTATGGCGTCGGGAGCAGGATGAGCATCAAGAGCACGCGCGCGATTATCGACGCGATTCACGACGGGTCGTTGCTGAAGGAGGAGTTTGTGACGACGCCCGTGTTCGGCCTGCAAGTGCCCACCAAGTGCAACGGCGTGCCCACTGAAGTGCTGCAGCCCGAGACCCTGGTGAGTGGTGCTCCCAATGGCCCGTGCAACTGTGTCCCCTTTGGTCTCCCCCTTTCACTCACGACGGCTCGTTGCTGAGGGAGGAGTTTGTGATGGCGTGCCCTCTGAAGTGCTTCAGCCCGAGACCCTGGTGAGTGGTGCTTGAAGTTCCGAGCAACAGTGTAGTCTGGTAGTGTCAGGCGAGATGATACCTCATCTTCAACCTTGTTCAAAAGAGGTTCCGGATGAGGTATCAGTGAGCACTTTCCACCAGTCCTGAGCTCATGCTTTTCTTTTTCCCCCCTGTGAACCTCCCCTTTCCGCCTTCCCCACGCAGTGGCCTGACAAGGCCAAGTACCAGCAGACCCTGGAGAAGCTTGGCGCGCTGTTTGTTAGACTTGGCTTCATGACCCACCCTCACACCTTTCCCTCTGTGTCCTCCCCCCCCACCCCCTCATTACCCCCATCCCAACGCAGTGGCCCGACAAGGCCAAGTACCAGCAGACCCTGGAGAAGCTTGGCGCGCTGTTTGTGAAGAACTTTGGCAAGTTTGTGGAGTTCGAGATGGGCGGCGAGACCACGCGCATCCCTGACGAGGTCTTGGCAGCTGGCCCCTCCATCACAGAGCAGCAGTTGCAGAAGGCTCTCAGGTAAAGCCCTGGAGAGGAAGGTGGGAGGAGTGTTGGTGGGTGTACGGGCGAGATGGAAGGGGGGGGGACCAAGCTCATCTCAGATGAGGTGCTGCTGGCTGGCCCCTTGATCACGGAGCAGCAGTTGCAGAAAGCTTGATTCTTACACAAGACGTCCTTCGGAATTATGTAGTCTGATATCATGGCGGCAGAAGTCTGAAGGCAGGGGAGTTAAGGCGATGGTGATTGGTTAGAATGGCAGGAGCGGATGTTGCTTTCAGCAGTGTGTGATTGTGTAGGTTTGTGTTGTGCTTGTTTGTGTTTTCCACAGCCTGTGGAGCGAGCTGTGATGTTTGTAATCCTTATCAGAATGTTCAATTACACTAATAAAGTCGGTCAAAGATCACAAGCCACAGCACTAACCATAAGACACCCGCTCACAGCTTGGGAGGGTTGGAATGAAATAAGGCAGCACACAGTTGGATTGCATCAGGCAGCCCAAACGCTAGCATCCAGCAAGCATGAAATGGTGGAGTTTAGGGGCCCTCAAACCTGAGAATTCATGTACATATCTTACGATGATTCCTTTGCTGTCTCCCCACATTATTGCTTGACCCAGAACTCAGCTAGGCAACCTGATAGCTTCAGCTACGGCATATGTCTGCCTGGTGAACAAGATACTACTGATGGTGGAGTGGAAGGAAAAGCCAATCGCTGGAACCATTCAATCGTTTCCATTAAACACCCGCCAATACTGGTACTAGGTAATTCACGCACCAAGCTAAACTACCATCGCTATATACAGGTTACAGACAGAAACATTGCTACACGTCACCTCCCTGCCCAAGTGACTTCCTGCATGAGCTCACATGAAACATGACGCTGCAGGTGAGGTGCACTAAAGAAATCCAATTGAGAGTCGTTTTTTGAGTCGACTCAAAAACCGCCGCAGGTGAGGTGCACTAAAGAAATCCAATCACGCCCCAGACACCCCTCATCTTGTTACCACCTCCCCATACCACCATCATCCTCATCATCGCCCTCGCACCCCACCTTTCACCAAGCCAATTTCTGCATTAAAAGAAGCCAAATGTATCCCAGACACAGACACTTGCATTGTGCAACTAGACCGCTTACCACTCCCCACTCCCACCCTCCGCCTTATCACGCCCCTCCTTTCACCAAACCGGTCTGCACCTTCTCACCCCCCTCACCACCCCTCTCTGCAGCAACACCTCGCTCCCCTCCTCCTTTGCCCCCCTCCTTCCCCTCCCCCCTTGCTTCCCCACCCCCACCTGTCCCCCCAACCTCTGCCTGTGGAGTTATCCCTCCAAGCCCAGAAACTCCCCCCACCCCCCCTCCCCCCTCACTCTCCCCTGCCTTACCACCTTCTCCGCCCTTACCCGCTGCTCCCCCTGCCCCTGCCTCCACCCTCCCCCGTCCCCCCTCCCTCTCCCCCTCTCCACGCGCCTCTCCCCCCACCGTCCCTCCCCTCTCTGTAAGCACACTCAGCACATGCCTCAGGACATCATTCCTCGAAATCACACCCACTACAGTCACACCCGGCCGGCCCCCCTCCCGGGGCGCAACCACAGGCAGCCTTTTAATCTTCGCATCCAGCATGATAGTAGCGGCGTCTTTAACGGGCGTGTCGGGGGTGACCGAGATGGACTGCTCGCTCATGCTGAGACCCACGGTCTGGGAGAGAACTTTAAGAGCCTGGTCCTCGTAGGTCTCTAGCATGCTCGTGTCTGACGTCATCATTGACCAAAGGTAGGGCGCGCGGAATGCGGTTTCAAGCTCCTGAAAGTGGAAGGGGGCAAGGGGGAAGGGGCAAGGGGGAAGGGGGAAGGTGGGAATGGGGCAAGAGGGCAAAGGGGGAAGTGGGCAAAGGGGCAAGGGGGCAAAAGGGCAAGGGGGCAAGGGGGGGAGGGGGTCGGAAGGGGAGAAACGGGGGGACGGGAGGAAGGTGGGGAGGGCGGATGGTAGGTCTCTCTGCATGCTCGTGTCTGACGTCATCATGAACGGGGAACGGAGTGGAACCTGCAACCCCGCACCTCATCACCCGTGCGCCATGCCGCACCTTATCGGCCGAAATCCACATAACCACCCCCGCGTCGCACCTTATCGGTCGCGTCCACCTCCTTCCACAGCAGGTCCTCCTCGCTATCACAACTACTGCCGTGTCACTCCTCGTAGCAACTGAGAAACTGAGACAATATCGCTCGCTCAAGCCAAACAGCAATCCGCGATACACCTCAGCACCCCTGCGCCGCTGCGTCTCACCTTATCAGTCGCGTCCACCTCCTTCCACAGCAGGTCCTCCTCGCTCATCACACCCACCAACCTGCCGCTCCCCGTCCCACGAGGCACACACCTTGTTCGTCGCTCAACTACTGCCCTGCCCTTCCCGTCCCAGGAAGCACCAACCTTATCGGTCGCGTCCACCTCCTTCCACAGCAGGTCCTCCTCGCTGATCACAACTACTGCCCGTCCCAGGTGGCACAACCCTGCATCTCCCCACCCCTGCGCCCGCTCCTCACCTTATCAGTCGCGTCCACCTCCTTCCACAGCAGGTCCTCCTCGCTGATCACGCCCACCAGCCTGCCGCTGCCCGTCGAGTCGCCCTCGTACGGCTCCACCACCGGCGCGCCGCTGATCTTGTGCTCTATTAGCGCCTGGCGGGTGTGGGGGGAGGGGGGAGGAGGGGACAGACAAGAGGGGAAAGGGATTCAACACAAAGAGAGGGAAGAGAACACGGGCTCCACCACCGGCGCGCCGCTAATCTTGTGCTCTATTAGCGCCTGGCGGTATGGGGGGGACACGTGCGAGGCATGTGCGAAATTGCGCTGGAATCGAGAAACCCCACAAGGAGACACACTCGCGCGCACGGGACAACACAACCAGCGCACGAGGCAACACAGCGACTCGCGCAAGACGAGGCACTCACGCGCAGGGCGTCCTCAAGAGGCGTATCGCGACGGAAGCAGATCGGGTCGCGCGTCATGTACTGCTCCACCTTCCCGACAGCACGCGGATCGCGCGGCCGCGCCGATCGCAAGTCCTCCACCGCTACCTCGGTCGCCATGGCGGACGGCGCAACGAGCTTTCACGAGAAAACAGTTTTCAACGATGTCAGAGTCAGGAGCGACGATTGATTGCAGATCGTAGAATCAAGGACGTTAGTTGGGAAAAAAGCGATAAAGGAGAGAAACACTGTTGGGTATACTCGGGAGAAAAGCGATTTCTACAGGAAGTCCACAAAGTAGTCCCGAATTAACAGGGAATAATTCGTACGAGTCGCTCAGCATGCGCTAAGTCAGTCTCACGCCACGACAAATGGCGAATCCGCAAACTATCGCACGTGGTTTGTCGATCTGGCCGCGAGCCGCATGTGAGAGACGCGTTAGAAAGAGCCAGCGCATGGCATGTGAAGGGTGAAAGTGAGTGTGAAACTCGAATTGGTACATTCGAGCACCACTGGAAATGTAGCAATGCAAGAACACTGGATCTGGTGGAAGGAGCGAAAAAAAATCATGCAAACGGGTAACTTTGATTCGCGATGCGTCACGAACTCATCATTATGTAACACTGTTGCTCAAGGTTTGGTTGGCGACCAGACCAAACCAGACTCGTGCGATCAAACCCCTCGACTTTGCTGTGCTGGCGGAGTTGCGTGATGCGCTGTCCAATTGCTTGAACCCGCTCGAAGATCCCGCCAGCGAAGACTCGAACGTTGCAACGCTGGTGAGCCTGTGGCACTCGAAATCCATCTGACGGCTTGTTGACGTGGGATAGACCAACATACACGTGAACATTCTGCAACGTCAGCCTCGTGGCGGAACCACGAATAATAAACAAGTCCCTGACAGGCTTGAGCTTTGCTGCGTTGTTCCCGAGCGTACGTCAGCGGCCCGCGCTTTGCACGAATGAGCAGCATGTCATGTCGCGCTGGCAAGGAGTACTTCCAGCGGGGACCGAACCGCACCTAGCCCAGCTTATCCAACCAAAGCGCCCTAACATCCGAGCTCAGGGAATGCCGAGCCAACTTTTCTTGGTGACACGTTTATGGAGGTCAGCCTCCCATCCAGCACCATATTTTAGTTGCCAGGAGCTCGACTAAATAAGTCCAGTCTATTCAAACGCTTCTTGTGCAAATCTTGCTGTCATCCTGTTCTATAGCTTACATCAGCCGCGACTCTCACGTTGCTTATTGAATAGTCCTTCTGGGTTTAGCATTGTCGGCTTTCTTCAATCATGGCTGCGGTTCAAGCTCTCGTCCTGACCCACACCAATCTTGTCATTGCCACACCCTCGCTTAGACTTCAGGTAAGCATTCTACGTATCGCTTGCCTCAGGCGGAGTGGGTTGCATGCTCATTGAGACGGTTTTTTTTTCCTCGGCACGGCATCTCACCTCGAGTTTCTTGCTCTTTCAGGAGCAACCTCCCCGAAGACTCGCCATCACTGCGGCAAAGCGCCACCGGCGGCCGGGAGTGCACCACCGAGGCCCCGCGGTACGCTCCCTCGCCATCCCGTTCGAAAGACCTAACAGCTACTAGCCACAAAAATTGAATATTCTATGTTGCTTCTTGATGAATGATGCTGGTTGCTGGCGCTAATATCAGCGGTTCCCTCGCTTTTCTTTTGTCTTTCTCTTTTTTTCTCTCTTTTCCATCAGCTCGAGAAGGCGACATTTCCGCAGGGCTACGGCGCTGCGCCCGAGACGCCTCCGCAGAGCGCGATGGCCGCCAAGGCGGAGGAGGTGAAGCCGCCGGCGGCGGAGGCGCGGATGGAGGAGGAGCGCCCCGCGTGGCACGAGTCGATGAAGGGGCAGCTGTTCTGGTTCATGCGCACCCTCGGAACCATCGTCGATTAGATGCTGCCTACTCTCATGGTAGCATCAGGAGCTGATAAGGCCGAACGCTTTGGCACCGACTTGCACCTCTTGGCGGTTTAGCGGCGTTCGTTTTTGCAATATTCGGAAGAGTCCACGCTCTTTCGTGTTTACTTAGTTCGTTAGGGTGTAAATACCAAATCAAACCCTACTGGTAGTGTTTTGGAACCGGGATCTTGTACCCGCTTGCTATAATCGTTCAACGACGGCTCTGGGCATTTTGCCCTTTTACAAACTTAACGCACACATACCCATGTGGTTGACCCCGAACGGATATGCATGACTTGAGCATCTTGGGGAAATACGGCATTGTGCTAAGAGCCCCCATTGGGCGAACGTAAACGACCTCTCCTCCAGATCTTTGGTATCTGCGCCAGCTCACACCCCGCCCTCTTGTGTTGTGGGGTTGTTTCCTCTTCAGTGTCCCCTGCCCCGGTACTTGTCCCTGAATCCTCCCCTTACCAGTCTCATGAGTTCATGGGGTCTGCCTCCGTTCCGCTATTACCCACTATTATTGAGGGAGCACTTGTTGTGCTGCGACGGGATAAACGGTGGGAATATGATTACACGGGTACAATGCAACATCATAGTGATGCGGCAGTAGCCGTGACAGCTGCAGCTCGTTAGCATCCTCCTCTGCCATTGCTGTGATTACGGCATGTGATAATTACCTGAGCCGACATGGAGGGATGTTTGATTGTATCGTCGCCCCGTCCCACAGGCCTCATGGACCCACTATATCGTACTTTCCAGGTCTCCCACACTCATGAACCCGCATACCCTGCAGACTAGGAGTATGCATTGACTAATCTTGTTCGCTTCCACCTTATTTGGCTAACCTTTCATGAACCGGCCACATTTCGTGTTCCATGAACCATCTCCAGCGCCGTTGCAAACCTCATGCACTCCCCGTACAACAACAGTATTGGCATGTGGTGTCCTTTTCGTTCGAGCACTTTCATTGAAACCACCTTGTTTGGCCATATCAAGGGCAATCCCATTGGTGCGACAGCAACGTACTGTATGTGTTTTCAAGCCACGCATATGACAGTGCCAAACCACTAGATATTCTGGCATCAATCTCTGCCAATGTAACCTGAATATATAGTGCATGGGCTGTGTCCGAGATGTTGGTTTAGTCATAATTGCATCTTTCCAGGCCCAATATCCATGTACTGTCTTCCAAACTGGAGCTGATTGAATCAGGTATTGAACAGTACAAAGGAATATCTTATTAGCACGTGGTGCCTCACTTCCTTGTTGGTTGTCCATTCTTCACAGAGACAGTTGTCGGTCTCTGCTGAAATTCCGCAATGTGTAAGTCCCAACCCAAGATGGCGGGAACTGACGCAACAAGGATTCCGCCTTTCCTGGCAGAATTTATGTAGGCAGTGATCTGTGAAAGATCCAAGTTCAACAAATAGGGTGCCGTCGCTTTCTGACATCCTCGAGCCTCTCTGCCCACCACATGTGCCACCCTGCCAGTTCCCTCCCAGTTCCCTCCCACTTCTCACGTGTGGGTATGTGGCATTCAAATGTTGGCGGGAAATGGATACCAGGTCCTCCGGGCAGTACAAAGAACAGAGACCGCACGGGTTTTGTTTCAGCCCCTCCTTGACGTGGCAAAAAAGCGCTCCCCTTTTTCCAACCACCCCTCTCCTGGTTGTGATGCAGCCAATAGGGAGTCTGCCCTCCTGTCCATGAGTTTTTTTTCCACGTCGAAGCTTCTTTCCCCCAAAACCGTGCGGGGTGCGGCAACCCCTTGAGACCCGTCCCGCCTACACATGCCAATGTGACTGGCTAAGCCCAGAGGTGCGGTCAGAAAGCTGCAGTCGGTACACGTGCCGCCCATTGATTGTCTCTTCGTCTGAACAATTACCCCTGCTTACCACATTCGCTGGTTCGGCTTGACGGAAGTCAGTGGCTCGGGGAACCAAAGCGACGGACTTCGGGGTCCGTCGACACCCATATTACAGAGCACCGCCTGAAACCAAGACGGTTGTGTTTTGCAGTTGAATTGCTAGCAACCGTTTCTCCAGTCCGTCAAGTCCAGCGAAGCACCACTTCCGTCGGCGAGGTCAGCTGAAAGTCCATCCCTGCTTGTCCAACCAACTGACAGACAGAGACCCAGAAACCATTTCCTGTCAGACTCCTGGTTCTCTCTTTCATTTCTGACACAGAAACCGCATTCCTAAACTGATCAGATCACAAGGTTTTGAAAGTTTGAAACATAGGAGGTTTCAGCCATGGCTCAACAAGATGGCTCTTTGACAGCGGATTCGTTCTCTCCTGCGGAGCCTTGCTCAGTAAAGCAACTCCAACACTGCGACGACCTTATTGCAGAGGACGCAGAGCACTGCCAAATCTCACTTGTAAGTTATTGTTTCCTTCAGATTCGTGCCGTGGTGTGGGAGCCAAGCTTACAAATCTTATGTAACGAATCCACACACTAATATAAAATCAATCACGAGCTTTCGTCGCTGATAACATGTTCGTTCTTCCTCTCGATCTCGCTGAGCAGGATGATTTCCAGAATGAAGCGGAAGGCGATTTCATGGACATTCTGTGCTTGGACGAGAGTATGCAGCTTGAGGATGACATATTGGCTATCGCCGACGATGACATCGCTGGTCCCATAAATCAACAAAACCTCCAGGCGCCTGCGACTGTGGATATCCGAACCCTGAACGAAGTTCCGACTCCTCTTCCTCCTTGGGATTCCGAGGTTAGTAATCGATTAATAACTGCCCATCAGACACCGCTCGTATATTTCGTTTCAATGGTCTGATTTGGTCGATCATTCTCATGTCATCCAGCTAAATTTATTCCGTCTTGTTATGTGCTGCAGGATTCTTCATTGTCTGAGGCTCCAGCCCCGCCAGTCGTCACTGAGAGAACGCAGGAGGTCCACGCATCCTCACCCGAGACCCCCTGCCTCAAACCATCATGGCCGTTGCAATCACCGCCGCACCACAAGCGGTTTCATTCTTCCACCGGATCTCACCGAGAAGGCAGTCCCGTTTCAGTTCTTACTGTCCGCCTGTCTCCTGGTCGGCCATTTGAAGGACTTGGCGAACCAGCTCTTATCGAGTACGAAACTCCAAATTTGTCATTGAGGAATGCCGATCTCCATCCGGTCGATTCGTGTGCTCTCTCCTCCAGATCCCGCAGCAAGCGCATGCGGATTATGAAGCGGGTCTGGTCGACGGACGTAATCTCGCATGTGGTTCCGGAAGACGCTGGGGTTGGCAGCAGCGACGAGTTCGACGATTGTTATGAAGGGCCTACGGGAGAGATTGAAGACGCTCGAATTGGTGGATTTTCTGAGGAACGGAATTTCTGCACAACTCCGCCGCTGGGTCCGCTCAACTCTGTTCCTCCCACGCTTGAACCTCAATCCAGGGGTTTAATTGGTGGCCCTGATCCTGCGACCTCGGACATTAGCTCACTTACCCTCAGTGGAACTGATTTGCCTCGATCAGCTTCGACGAACCAAGTAGACTCTGTAGCCAAGCAGCCTTCCAAGAAGCGTAAGCCTCAAGGGAGTCCCGATGGGAAGGACAAGGATGGCAACATTCGCCGATGCACCCATTGCTCGTCAACGACCACCCCTCAGTGGCGAGCGGGCCCTATGGGTCCCAAGACCCTTTGCAACGCCTGTGGAGTGAGGTACAAATCCGGACGGTTGTGTCCGGAGTATAGACCCGCGAGCAGCCCGGAATTCCAGCCGGAGAAGCATTCCAATTCTCACCGGAAGATCGTGGAGATGCGGAAGCAGCAAGAGTCGGGAGTGGTCGACGGAGGAGCTCCGTCAAATGTTAACCTGGAAGTCGTTGTCGCACCGCCGACTCCGTCACGGGCTCCTAAGAAGCAGATACTAGACGGAAACACCTCTAACGGTAAGAAGCCTAAGAGGGAGAAGACTGAGGAGGAGAAGGAGAGAGCGCGTATTCGACGGCGGTTACGGAAGCAGCAGCAGAAGCTGGTTCTTCAGCAGCAACAGCAACAGCAGCAGCAGCAGCAGCAGCAACAGGAAGTCGTGCAGACCGGGACTTTCTACGGTGTTTATCCAGTACAGATGGGTGTAGGCTCCGCGCTTGTCAGTACTACCAGTATCGGGTGCGTGGATACAGGATCACTCGTAGTTGATCATCTGGCAGCTGATGGAATGGGTCCCAGCGTTCCCAGCGTGCACAGCAGCCTTTCACCCGTTCCTTACGCCATGCCTCCACCTATGCTTCAGACGACTGCTTCTGCGCCTCAGTCGACACCTGCATCCTATGGAGCTCTCGGCTACTGCCAGCCCTCCATCGTCCCCTCGCCTGTTTCCCACGTCACAGAATCCGGACCTGAAGGTTGCTGGAACCCCAGCCACTCTCAAGAGTCCGCTGGGGTTTTGTGTGAGGATGAGGTGGTGGACTGGCAGGGGATGGAACATGAGGAGGATGAGGACGCCGAAGGATACACCTCGTTCCTTGCTCTGGACTGCCAGCCCCTGGCAACTCCCGTCCTCCCCATGCTGGACTCGGCAGTGCTTCCTTCCTTCGCCGCCGCACCTTCCTTCGCTATGTGCAATGCGAATAACGTTGGGGCAGGGCCTGGTTGTATGGGCGCCCGGGAAGATCTGCAGAGCTGTTGAGGGGCTTGAGGAGACCTGGTTTGCTCTTTATTTTCTTAGTGATTTTGGTTGGGTTTTGCTTGAGATTTGTGATTGGTTTGGGGTCTCAAAAGAGTCTATTTACACTGCAGGGGTGACGCAAGTGGGTGGCACAAGTGTTTGTGCGCTCCGCTCCTCTACAAGAGCCTCATTACTGAGGGATGGTCATAACTGCAAGAGGATGCGCAAAAGTGTGTCACCTCAGCAGCCGCCTTAACCCTCCTATATGGCAGCGCAACAGTGCTGCCAATCCTTTTCAAGTCTGTTGGTTTTGGGGTGAATACAAGTTTGTCCCGCTTCAGGCTTCTACTGTGGCTTTTCAGTCACCTGATTTGCAAGGTTTTGTTTTCTAACATAAAGTATTATTTTTTACAGGTGCTAACTTTGATGGAGATTGAAACACTTGCACGCTCTTGACATATTTGTCAGCAAGACAATAAACGCAAGCATTCTCACACAATTTTAACGCAAAGTGGCCACCTTCCAATAGGGTATTTATCAGAGAAGCAGGCATCTCTGAAGTCAACTCAGACCACAACTAACACATCTTCCTACAAAAAGCATGTGCTCCATGCTTTGAACTCACGCACTATACCATGTCCCCAGCACTGTATGTCGGCTCGACTCCAGAAGTGACTATGCGCGTGCCACTTGTAGAGTGGGACGAGGACGAGGAGGAACCAGATGAGGCGAAGTCAGTTGAGGCAGCAACTGCACTTCCTTGGCCAGTCCCTCCTCCCCCAATCACAACTGGATTAGGCTGCACTGCTGGTCTGTACAGCCTCTCCCTCCTCCCATTCCCCGTCCCTCCTCCTCCGCTCGCTGCTGCACCACCCCAGCCTTGAGGAAGCAGCGCATCCACGTCACTCTTCACCCCGCCTTTTCCGTTCCCAAACGGCCACCACACCCACTGGGAGCTTTGTTTCTTCTTCTTTTTGGGAGGAGGGGGAGGGGAAGAGGAAGTGAGCGGGTTTGCAGTGGAGGTCGCTGCGGGTGCTGCTGCTGGTGCCGATGGCGGCGCCTGTGCTGCTGGTTCCCCTGTTGGTGGTGTTGCTAATGGTGGTGCGGATGGTGATGGCACAGTTGCTGATGCTGCTGAAGGTGAGGACGAGTTCTCCTCACTTCCTGCTGGCTTTGCAGCTGGAGCTGGTGTTGATGGTGGTGCCGGTGATGCTGGTGGTGGTGTTGATGCTGGTGCTGTTGCTGTCGTTGCAGCCTCTTTCACGTCTAATGCTGGAGCCTCAGCAGCATCCTCCCCAACAGATGGTGCTATTGCCCCTGCACCACTGCTCCCCTCACCCCCCCCACCTCCACCCCCACCATCTCCAACATTACTTCCTTCCCCACCCGTGTCGCCGCTCTCCCCTCCAGAAGCCTCCGTGCCTGAGCTGTCAGATTGCGGCTCTGAGCTGTCAGACTTTGACTCAGAGCTCTCAGAGCTGGTGCCTGAATTGTCAGAGCTGGCGGTTGAGTTGTCAGAGTCGGTGGTTGAGTTGTCAGAGCTGGTGGTTGAGCTGTCAAAACTGGTGGTTGAGTTGTTAGATTTATCCAGGCTGTCATAACTATCACCTAATTTGTCAGTTTCCGGGTTCGAGTCCAAACTGGCAGAACTGTTGCCTGAGCTGTCTGAGCTGGCAGAACTGTTGCCTGAGTTATTACCATCCTCTCCACTAGAGTCAGTCTCACTGCTCCCGGTGGGGGATTCTGCCTCACCATCACTCGCCACCTTCCCCTCACTGCTTGTGGGCGGATCCGCTCCTCCGCTTTTCACTGCCTCACTGCTTGTGGGCGGATCCGCTCCTCCACTTTTCACTGCCTCACTGCTTGTGGTGTTTTTCGTCTCTCCTTCCTTCACCCCTCCATCACTTGCCCCCTTCTCCTCCTCACTGCTTGTGGTGTTACTTGCCTCCCCTTCCTTCTCCCCTCCATCGCCTGTCACCTTCTCCTCACTGCTCCCGGTGGGCGGATCCGCTCCTCCTCCGCTCTTCACCTCCCCACTGCTCGTGGTGTTTTTCGCTTGCTCTTCTTCCTTCACCTGTTCACCACTCCCTTCCTCTGCCGTGCTTTTTTCTGTCCCATCCGTCCCCTTGTCCCCTTGCCCATCCTTTGATGCCTCCTCCCCTCCCACACTCCCTCCCTCACCACCCCCCTTTTCCCCCTCCTGTTCATTCTCCCCCTCTCCTGAGCCCTCCTCGCCTGCATCACCCCCCTTCTCCCCACCCGCGTCCACGGTATCATTCTTTCCACCCGTCCCCTTCCCCCCCGCCTCCCCGGAACCAGCACCCTCCGTTCCCCCTGCTGCATCCGAAGAACCACCCTCTGAAGCAGCCTCATCACCTGACGAATCCGCCTTTCCAGAATCCGAGGAGGAGCTCGAAGAGGAATTGGATGAGGAATCGGGCGAAGAACTTGAGGAGTTAGAAGAGGAATCAGAAGAGGAATCAGAAGAGGAATCAGAAGAGGAATCAGAAGAGGAATCAGAAGAGGAATCAGAAGAGGAATCAGAAGAGGAATCGGAAGAGGAATCAGAAGAGGAATTAGAAGAGGAATTTGACGAAGAGGAATCAGAAGAGGAGTTTGAGGAGGAATCTGATGAGGAACCCGAAGAGGAATTCAGAGAGGAGCTCGTCCCGTTAGACAACTCTCCGCCTCCCCCTCCTCCTCCCACCCCTCCTATCACTGGCACGTTCCCTCCCCCACCATCCTTTTTCGCCGTCTTCCCTTCTCCTCCCTTCTTCTTCCCCTTCTTCGGCGCCCCCACCTTGCTGACGGCGTCCCACCATACGCTCCCTTCTCCCCCATCACTACCCTTGCCTCCTCTCTTCTTGCCGTGCTTCTTTGCTGTTGCTCCAATGCTGCCGCTGCTACTGCTCTGGGTTGACTGGGGACCGCTAACATCATCACCGCCACCACCACCTCCGCCGCTGTTGCCGCCGCCGCTGCTGCTGCTGCTGCTGCTGCTGCTGCTGCTGCTGCTGCTGCTGCTGCTGCTGCTGCTGCTGCTGCTGCTGCCACTGCTGCTGTCACTGCTACCAGCCTTCTCTGCCTCACTCTCACCGCCTCCAGGTTCGGTAGTGCCACCACCACTGCTTCTGCTGCTGCTGCTGCTGCTGCTGCTGTTGTCATTGCCACCATCGTTGTCGCTGCTACTGCTCTCTCCACTTCCTCCACCTGACCCATTACCTCCACTGCTACTACTGCCACTCTCACTGCCATCACTGCTCTTGCTGTTACTTCCGCTGCCGCTGCTGCTACTGTCACCTCCGTTGCTATCCCTGCTGATACTGTCGTTGCTACTGTCACTGCTGTTACTGTCACCACTGCTCGTATCACTGGATCCGCCCGAAGGAGGAGTCTCCCCTGCCCCCCCTCGCTCCTTGTACCCCAGGTGCTGCCCCTGCCGCTCCTTCTCCCGCCTTGCCTTCTCCTGCCTCTCCTTGTGCCCCACAAACCCCCCTCCACTGCCACTGTCCCCTCCACTGCCCCCATCGCTGCTTCCACCTTTCCCCTCCCCTCCTGCATTACCAGCATCCGACGTGTCACCACCTGATTCGCTCCCACCATCCCCACCATCCCCTTCAGAATCCGCATCAGGCGCAGGTGAAGAGGAGGAGCCGGACGAACCACCACTGCTGCTCGGGGAGTCATTGCTGCTGCTGCTGCTGCTGCTGCTGGGGGAATCACCGCTGCTGGGAGCAGAGCTGGGGCTCTTGTGCTTTCCCCCTGTGGTCTTATCATCTGGCATCGGGCCGACCTTGTTCGACCCTATCCCCCCGTGTTGGTTCCTCCCTTTCATCCCTGCAGTGCCTCCACTGCTCTCGCTCCCACTGCTCCCCCCCTCCTCCTCGTCACCACTGCTGCTGCTGTCGCTGCTGCTGCCACTCCCGCTGTTCTTCCCAGCCTTTTGCACCCCACTCGCACTCTTCCCCCCGCTGCCGCCCTTACTCCCACCACTCCCTCCACCACCCAGCGTGTTCCCTCCTCCCCCAGCACCTCGCCACGGGTCATTCGGCATGCCTCTGCCTCTCCAGCTGCCCCCTCCGCTCCCATAATACCCGTTGCTCCCCGCACTGCTGTACCCACTTGTCCCGCTGCCCTTTCCACCGCTGCTGCTGCGGCTGCCCCCGCCTTCTATAAGCCTGTTGCCGCCACCCCCATCTAGCAACACGTTCCCATCACTGTTGCTGCTCCCGCCGTTGCTGCTCCCGCCGCTGCTGCTCCCGCCGCTGCCACCGCCACTGCTACGACCACCGTTGCTGCTGCTGCTGCTGCGGCTGGCTGTGTCAGAGCTCAGGGCCCCTCCTCCGCTGCTGCTCCCCCTGCCTGCGCCACGACTGCTTGAGCCGGCATCATCGCTGCTACTGCCACTGGCAGTGCCATCACCACCCCTGCTTCCTCCCCTTCCTCCTCCTCCTCCGCCTCCTGACGCTCCATTTTCAGCAGAAGCTAGCGGATCATAGGGGTCTATTTCCGGTGCTGATTCTCCTGAGGAGCCTTCTCCAGAAGAATCACCTGAGGAATCACCTGAAAAGCCACCTGAAGGTCCAGAAGGAGTCTCACGCGAAGAGTAATCAGGCCTTTTGCTTCCACTGTACCTGCCAGTGCCACCACCAGTGCCACCACCAGTGGCCCCAACAACCTCCTCGGGACTCCTATTTCCCCCAGTGCCGCCGGTGCTGCCGGTGCCACTCCTGCTGGTGCGGCTTCCCAATGTTATTCCATCCTGCACATTCCCGCTGCTACCGCTGTTGCTGCCCCCTTGCCCGCCGCTGCCGCCACCACTACCACCACCACCACCACCAGACGCTGATGAGCCTAGAGGGTCGTACGGATCTATTCCCGACCCATCAGAGCCCCCTCCTCCTCCCTCTTCCCCTCCTCCCTCTCCCTCACCTGCTCCTCCATCCGCGTTATAATCACCTCCGCTGCTGGTGTCGTCACTGGTGTCGTCCGCGGTATAGTCCGCTGGGGGGGTTTCGCCCCAGTCTCCTCCTCCTCCCCCCCCCTCCTCCTCCTCCTCCTCCTCCTCCTCCTCCTCCTCCCCCCCCTCCTCCCCCTCTTCCTCCTGCTCCTCCCCCTCCTCCTCCTGCTTCCCCCTCTCGTCCTCCTGCTCCCCCTCCACCATCATCCTCCCCATTGCCTGTTTCCCCCTCTCCACCTCCGCCCCCACTTGTATCCTCCTCCCCTCCTCCATTGACATCTCCGTTACTGTCACCAGAACTATCACCACCACTTTCACCACCACTATCACCTGCACTATCACCCGCACTATCACCGGAACTATCACTGGAACTATCACTTGAACTATCACCGGAACCATCACCACCACTATCACCGCCACTATCACCGCCATTGTCACCGGCGCTACTATCACCACCACTGTTATTATCGGCACTGCCCTCACTCCCTTGGTCCCCTGCACCCTCGTTTCCTGCACCCTCCCCTCCTCCCTCCTCTCCTCCACCCGCCTGCGTACCCGAACTGCTGTCCCCCCCTTGCTCTCCGTCCGCTGATCCAGACCCACTATCACCATCACCACCAGCACTGGTGCCACCATCGTCCTTTCCTCCGTCACTCGACCCACCAGTCCCACTGGGCTTCTGGGAGGCCCCACCATCACTTCCACCCCCACCATCACTTCCACCCCCACCACTGGGGGTGCTAGAGCCGCTTGACTCTCCTCCACTGCTGCCCTGGCCCCCTTCCTCCCCTCCTCCCTCACTCCCTCCTCCCTCACTCCCTTCCCCACTCCCCTCCGCTACCTTAGCCCCATCCCCGTCCACCTGGGTCGGCTTCGCCACCCCTCCGCCTCGTTTCGCCCTCGCCTCCCTCCACTTTTGCCGCAGTGCCTCCCTCTTGCTCTTCGTCTCCCTCACTCGCTTCAGTGTCTCCTCCCTCTTCTTCTTTTCTTCCTCCTGCTTGCTCGATGCTGCACCCTCCTTGCTGTCACCCTCCTTCCCCTCACTGCTCTCACCTCCATTCCCTCCACTCCCTCCCCCGTCATCCCCACCATCTCCTCCTCCACTTTCTCCTCCCTTTCCTCCTTCACTATCCCCACCCTCTCCACTCTCTCCCCCCTCCTCTCCTCCTCCCGTGTCACTTCCTGTCGCCTCTTTAGCTTGCAACGGAGGCACTTCATCCTCCTCCCCTGCCCTCCCAGTATCACCCTCCCCGTTCTCACTCCCTCCCACCCCACTGCTCTCACTCCCGTTACTATCACCACCCTCACCGCTCTCCACCGCAGTCAGCCCAGACCCCTCCTCCCCCCCCCTCCTCCCCAACCCCCCTCTCTCCCTCACCTCCATCTGACGTGTCATCATGCGATTGGATCTTCGCACCAGCCTGGCGAAAAGGAGCCAGGATAGCATCCAAATCAACCACACGGAACGGGTACTCACACGCGCTCATCATCGCGCGTATCCTCCCCTCCTCCTCCGCCGTAACCTCCTTTTTCAGCTCCGGAATTCCCAAGGGAGACTTGATGCTGCTCCCAGGCGTCACCAGTACATTTTCCATTACTGGCTGTAGCTGCCTCTCCGGCTGTAGCTGTGTCTCTGCCGCCCGGGTCTTCAGCAGGCTCCTGCTGGGGGTGATGTTGATGTCGGCGAATGAGACGCCGACACATGGCACGGTGGGGCTGCAGCGCACGTAGATCCCGTGCGTGTGGTTGCTCGTGCCGTAGATGTTCCGGAACGACACGTTGGTAATCGCCACTGCGTCGCCGCTCCCGCCGCCGCCGCCGCTGCTGCTGTTAGTGCTGTCACCGCTGCTGCTGCTGCTGGTAACAGGGTTACCAGCATCATCGCTGTCACTGTCATCGTCAGCATCAGTGCTACTGCTGCAGCTGTAGGAGCCGTCGCTGCATCGGGTCTGCCAATGGGTGGGAGAGGTGAAGAGTGGTGAAAAGGTGAGATGCGTGAGAGGAGATACAACCACAGGAGGTGATTACATGCGTGGCAAGAGCTACTGTTGCTCCTGTTTCAAAACAAGTACTTGTCCTCATTCAGGTCGTGATGAAGAAGTTTCAGAAGCAACAGGTATGATTCTTTTATTAGGTATGATTTCTGACGGCCACTTGTGGAGCCAGACAGACCCTAAGTGCGGTCTTCACATACTAAGGAGAATCCGCTGACCTGGTCGATTTTGATTGGTTCGGTCGTCTCGATGACCTCCACGTCAGCAAAGTGCACGTTGGAGACGCACCCCCTGCCGCCCTGGAACGTGCTTATGCGCAGCGCGTTCCTCCCTCCGTACACCGTCGCGTTCTTTACAGTCACATTCGTTACACACGCCGTGAAGTGGTCCCGGCCGAGATTGAATATGCTGTCGGGGGGTAGGGAGGGGAGAAAAGCGGAAGGTGGAATTAGGGAAGGTGGGTTGGTGGTTTGGGGAAAGTGAGAGATCTGAAGGAGGCGAGACAAGAGAGGGGTGGTGGAATCCAAACCTGGGGGGAGAGAGTGAGGGGCGGTGAGGGACAGAGAGAGGAGGGAGGCAATGGAGGTCAAGAGTGGGGGATGTGTGGAACGACGGAGAGAGTGCATTGGAGGGAGGGTGTGAGGAGTCCAGTTGGCGGACGAGGTGAAGGTTCGGAGAGGAGAGGGATCGTAAGAGCAAGGGTGGCATGTCATACTCGCAGTTCCTCACAGCTAATCATACACACAGAGAACACATACCAGCCTTTTACTTCCCCCATACCTCCCGTCCGCCCTCACCTGATGTCGCGACCAGCTGAGCTGAACACATGGCTGACGCTGATGTTGGCGGTGGTAGGGAACTACTGAATCTACCCACAAGTATATACCTGAAGAAACTCATACCCACAGGTATCCATACTCACCCATTTCCCCCATACCTCCCATCCGCCCTCACCTGATGCCCCGGCCAGCAGAGCTGAAAACATGGCTGATGCTGATGTTGCACTGGTGGGGTACTACTGATTCTACCCACAGATATTCATACTCAGCCATCCCCCAATCCCTCCCCTCTGCCCTCACCTGATTCCCCGGCCAGCGGAGCTGAACACACGGCTGATGCTGATATTGGCGCTCTTATCCACTATAGCGATGCCGTTGCCGCCCGTGTGCATCCTGCAGTTCCTTATAATCACATTCGTTGCAGCGGCCAGGTGCAGCCCGTCAGTGCCAGGGCTGTTGTACGGACTCATTGCAGTCACCTCCTGTACAATCACATTGTTGCACTCCTGTATGCTGATGTGCATCTCAGGCGGGTTCCGTACAGTGATTTGCTCTATAACGAGATTATCACACTTTTGGAAAGACAACCCCTTTGGTCGGGCATAAGAGTCGGGCTGCCCGAGCGACAAATGTTCCCGCCACGTCTCCAGCCCCTGCCCGTCAAAACTCCCTGCCTGCCTGCCCTGCCCGGACGACGTCACGGTCAGCCCGGTCACACGGTCGAAAAAAAGATGCGCCACCACGCTGTAAGCCGATTGGTAGGAAGAAACGGGCATGTTAGGAGCCAGAATCCTCCCGTCCAATAAGAAGATGACACCTGGCCCGCAGGGCCCGGAGAATACCATGGGGGTGGTGAGGAAATCAGCTCCAGCGGGAATGGTGACCGTTGCTTTGGCGTTGTTCTGCCGCGCCCACTTGCATGCTTCGTTAAAAGCTGTCTCGATAGCCTCGCCATCGTCGTTCTGCCCGTCGCCCAGGGCGCCGAAATGGTACACGTTGAAAGAGCCTGAAACGGAGGTGTCTGTAAAGGGGATAGGCTGGGATAACGTGCGCAGCACGTCTTGCGTGGTGGTTCCGTTGGAGGTTCCTCCTCCTGCCCCTGGGGTAAGGGTTTGTGAAGCCTCCACCACCGAGCCGGTTTTGGCTGGGGGGTAGATCTGGAAGTTCGGCCATTCCTGATCCGAAGGGTCGGAGTAAGGGTCGTTCACCTCTTCAGCACCCCCATCACCATCACCATCCGCATCAGCATCGGTATCAGCGTCACCGTCAGCATCAGTACTGTCACCGTCACCGTCAGCATCGGCGTCAGTCCCGTCAGCAGCAGCACCACCACCGCTCCCCGCTTCCGAATTCCCCCCGACGCCGCCACCATCCGCCATAGTTTCTTTCACCACACCTCCCCGCCCGCGCGTGCGGTTCCCCCCCGGCCTTCCGCACACGTCCGTGTGCACGCAGAACGCGGACGAGTAGAAGCACGAGGGGAACGGCTCGCAGCTACCGACGCGGTTCGCGCGCCCCGCCCACGCGCACGTGTCGAGCGTGCACGCGTCGCCGTCGTCGCACCCGCGCGCGACGCGCGACACGACCGAGCAGAACGAGTCGAGCTCGAAGCGGCAGTCGCCGGAGAGAGTCGTGGCGGCGGGGGGCGGCGCCCACGCGTCCGCGCGGGACAGGCGCGCGGAGAACGGCCAACCCTCCACGCGGACGAACAGCCCCTGCTTGGGGCGGAACAGGCACGCGGGGCGGGGGAGGGGGGCGCGCAAGCGCGGGGCGAGGAGGTCCGGGTCTTCCGAGCCTGATTCTGCCGAGCCTGGTGAATCGTCTTGGTCTGCTGGGGGATCCTGCTGCTCCCCTTGCCCGTGCGCCTGCCGCAGCGCTAGTGCTTCCTCCTCCAACGCCTCGATATCCTCCGTGCTCATGCCGCCGCCATCGCCGCCGCCATCGCCGCTCCCATTACTGCTGCCGTTCTCCTTTCCATCAGTGGCTGTGCTGTTGCCATTCGCTTTAGTCACACCCGCCCCTGTGTCACCCCCGCCGTCGCTTCCATCGCCGCCACCGTCAGCGCCGTCGGCCCGGCCAGCGCCGCCAGTCACGGCAGCACCCGCACTAGTCACCGTCCGAATCCCCTTTCCGCCACCCGCCGCAAACCCCCCATCCCCCACTTGCCCCCCTCCCGCTCCCCCTCCCCCTCCTCCTCCCTCCACTCTCCCCACGCACTCCTCCTTCACCCGCCTCTCGCACCGCGCGCTCTCATAGAAGCACGACGGGAACGGCGTGCAACTCCCGATAGTGTTATTCCCGCCCTGCCATAAACAGTAATCGTCCGTGCATTCGTCCCCGTCGTCGCACCCCCCCGGCCTCCCCACCACCCCGCACGCCGAGTCGATTATAAACCGGCAATTACCGGTCATGGCGACTTGCCCGGGCCGCGGCGCCCACGCGTCGCTTGCGGAGAGGCGGACGCGGAAGCGGTTCTTTAAGCGGATCATGAAGCGGTTCTTATTGGGGATGAAGATGCACGCGCTGCGAGGCGGCGGCATGGTTCCCACGATTTCGACAGTGTCGTCTGACCCGTCCTCGTTATTATCTCCGGTATCATCCTCGTTAGAAGCATCGCCGCCAGCCGAAGCAGACGTGTCGTCTGAGCCGCTTTGCTCCCCTTCCCCGCTCGCCCCCTTCTCTCCCCCCTCCGCATCCGAATCCGCACTTCCCGCGTTCTTCCCCCCTTCCCCGTCTTTCCCCTCGCCTTCTCCGCTTCCACCGTCTTCCCCCTCGTCCCCGCTTCCGCCACCGCCCGCGGATACATTGGCGGAAGCGGACGAAACTGAGCCCTTAGGCGCAGACGGGGGAGTTGGCGGCGCGATGCAAGCTGGGTTCGTTTCACTACCGGGGGACGCGGTATAGGAACAGGACGGGCCCGCTAAGAGGCAGTCGGGATAAGGCAAACATGTGGCTGGGTCGGCAGGCACACACGTGTCAGTCGTGCATTCGTTGTGGTCGTCGCATCCGCCAGTGGGCGTGACATCTTGACACGTGGCGTCGATCAAGAATTGGCAGTCGTTCGTCAGCACCTTCCGACCAATGGGAGGCGCCCACGCGTCCGTCGCGTTGAGCGCAATTCTGCGAGCAGGCGAAGAATCGGAAACGGACGCAAAAGAGCACGCTTGAAATAACAACGAAAGAATTAATAATAAATCAAAGCAACAAAACGATGACGTTCCGTCGCTTACGACATAGGCGGTTTCAGAAAGTTGCCTGAGGTGGCGCCGGGATGTTATATTATTAATGTGACCAGATGATTGTTTTGAAACGTCAAGTAGGCGCTTATAATACGCGGTAACGGATCCCCTTCAGGCGCATTCCACTTACAGTGTACTCAGCCCCGCCACCAGCTCGAATGTCCGCTTCTCAGCAGCAAACACGCACGCGCTCGCGCGCGCGCGCAGCCCCGCGGCCTTCACGGCGTTCAGAAGAATCTCCGCCCCTACCGGAGCGCGCTCCAAGCTGACCGCGCCTGCCGTTCCGCCACGAGTCATGGCGGGAGGGGATTTGGGCGGCGGTGACGTGGAGCCCTGCGCAGGTGCGGGCGCTACAGCCGCAGCTGTAGCGGTTTTCTTGGCGGGGACTATGGCGGTAAGCGGAAGCGGAAGGATGGCTGAAGGAGTGCCGGCGGGGGCGGATGGTATGTGAGGAGCAGCGGAAGCTGTACTGGGGGAGGCGGAGGGGGAGGCGGCAGCGGAAGCGGGATGAGTGACGTCACTCCCGCCAGCTCCTGCGTTTATGGCGGCGGCGGGGGAGGCGGCGGGGAAGAGGGGGATGTTGGCGATGGGTGTTGGCCCGGGGATTGCGGATCGTGCTAGGAGCGCTGCCGCGGCGGTCCTTGAGTTTCCAGCGGAAACAGTGGTCGCAGCGGCTTGTGGGGGTGTTGCAATGGGTGTTGCAAGAAGAAGCACTGTTGGGGTGGTGGTTGGAGGGATGAGAAGCGAGAAGGGGGACGGAGAGGAGACGATGTCAAGGGGATGAATTGAACGTGTTGGTGGGAGATTGGAAACATTGAAAGGGCAGACTGGAAGGAAACAAGTAGAAGCCGCGTGGGAACCAAGGAACAAAGCAGGAGGAACGAGGGATGAAAGAATCTGGAGGAGCAGGAAACGGTGAGACCTCTCTTTGGGAGAAAAAATGCTCGGTCAAGGGCGGTGCTGGGGTGCGAATCCATCTGAAGTGACTGTTCTCTGACACGTTGAAGGGCAGTTGCGTGCACGTAGGACAATCGGATTCGAGACTCGAATATAGTAGTCAAGTCATGGTTCGACGGTTTGTGTAGACACGCACCTAGGGACAGAAGAATTGCCGCGGCGCCGTTTCGTCCAGAGCCGAGTAGCCTTGCAGTCGGAGAAGAAGCGAGTGGTGACATTGTTACGATCTCACGGTGTGGTAACGTTACGCCGACTGTACGCCTCCGCTTTTTTTCAGCGGGAACGACCGCTAACGGCGCTGTAGTGACCTTAAACGGTCGTCGTCGCCGCGGTGACGGCGAGGTATCATCAGCTGTATACATGACTGTATCGTTCTAGCTTACGTCATGGGCTCGTACAAGCTAGCACCTAAAATGGATCAATCCTGGCCCTCTTCGCTCTTAGGAAAGACTATGATAAGTTCGATAAGATCCTGAATACCTAAATCGAGGTGAATTAGCACAACGCACTAGTAGTTCTAGCTCAGTTTGTCGAGAGCGTCTTGTCCATAGTTCGCACCATAAGCTCGCATTGAGAAAAACAGCAATGTTGGTGATTGCACAGCTTCGAATTCCTTGTTTTCTGAATCATTATGGTGCGAGTAGATCCTCTTGTGGCCGATGGGTGCCGCTGGTCGGCGAAATCGGACGGCTCTGGTTGAGTGGAGGAGAGGAGCTGTGGAGTGGAGTGCCCCCGAGAAACGAGCTGCTTGAAAGGCGATGGAAGAATGAGGAGCATCCGGTGCGGTGATTGATGGACTTGGTTGGAAGGAATTCAAATTTCGGAGGGGCATCGCTGCCGTTAACACCGAGAATTCATATGACTGGAGCAATCTTAGCCGTCAGTGGTTTGGCGCCTCCAGGAGCTTGCAACGGGTTGCAAGACCAACAAATTTTGGCTCGAATTGGCCAAATCCTCCACACCGGTCGCGCCGCTATGTCAAAAGCTTTCAAGATCTCTCACCGACGAGCCGCCCATCACATCGTACGGCCAACCTGAGTTCCTCAAATGTTTGAGGGCGCGAATGCAATTCAAGCTTGTATTCGCGGTAGAGGCCTTTTGATTGAGGGAACTTTGCAAACAATGGAAGATGATAACCTGACCTCATTTATCCAGAAAGGCGCAAATGAAATCAGTATGATATGGTGGAGACACACGAATACCATGGTTCTTTTTACTGAGTAACATCATATATCCTGAATTGAATATGAAATATCATATCTCACAGAATTACATATACTGCAGAAATCCGATTCGAACTGCTTTGCCGTATGTGTTGAATGAAACTATTGTTGAAGGGCTGTGAAATTCTATGAACTGACATTTATCCACCAAATCCTACAAGCTCAACCCTAAAGCACTGAATGTGCATCTTGCTGCGATCAGAAGTTGATCGTAACCAGGATCTCCTCAGGAAGGTTCGCACACTTCTAATCTAGTGGTGGTGGGCCCTTGACCTCAATAGCAGAGTGAATGTAAAATGCTTGAGACGATTAAAACATACAAATACAACAAGTATAAATATGAGTACAGGGAAGATGAATCGACCTAGCTAGCCATGTACTCTAAGGGGTACATTCCCTTATTCAAATTCATTCCCAACCATGCGGCGCGTACAGTTACGAAACTGTTCCCGCCAAAACCTTCCTGACTGCAGCTGCCGATGCCGTCTGCTTCCGACGGTCCAGATGCATCCCAACCGTCTGACGTTTCGAGTCAACTCTGACTCTTCACATTCGTTCTCGATACTGCATGCTTCTTTAGCTGCGGTCGGGAGTGCATTGTAATCTTCATTCATTACTATTCGTAACACCCCCCTTCACTCCTGGCCGTAGCTCGACTTGACTTGCTTGACTACTCCGCTGAGTTCGGAGCAGTGCTGATACTGCTGGCGTGGCAGACGCTTCGTGAGGAAGTCCGCTGCCATTGTCAAAATATATGCATGTTATTGTCTAGGCTATATTGGGGCTAGCCTTAGGGGGTACAGAAAACTTCTCGACACCCTAGTCTTGTACCCCAATTTTCACCCAATGCATCATACTTGCCTAAGATTCTAACATGGCATCTAGAGCATAGGTCCTTAGGACCTAGGATTAGGGCCTGTCAGAACATTATAGCTTATGCTGTTGTGTAGGCTATAGTGGGGTATCCCATAGGGGGTACAACCAATTAGGGTTTCATATTTGTACTCACTTCATTTCATAGTTCATTCATTCTTGTTCAAATCTTCTCATGGTATCGAGCAGGTTCCCCCTTGGGAACTGTGCTTAGGGCCCACCACATCGATTTTTTTTTTTTTTCCTGCCCGAAGCGCGCTCAGCCCGAGTCGCGCTTCGGGCCCTCACTTCGTCGAGCCGCCCTAGCGGCCCTGCACTGCGGCCCCGCCACCCGTCTCCGCGGCCCCGCCGCCCGTCTTCGCGGCCCCGCCGCCTCTCTCCTAGCGGCTCCGCCGCCCTACCTAGCGGCCCCGCCGCCCTACCTCGCGGCCTCGCCGCCCCATTGCGCGGCCCCGCCGCCCTACCTAGCGGCCCCGCCGCCCCATCGCGGCCCCGCCGCCCCATCGCGCGGCCCCGCCGCCCCATCGCGCGGCCCTGCCGCCCCATCGCGCGGCCCCGCCGCCCTTCCTCGCGGCCCCGCCACCCCATCGCGCGGCCCCGCCGCCCCATCGCGCGGCCCCGCCGCCCCATCGCGTGGCCCCGCCGCCCTACCTAGCGGTCCCGCCGCCCTTCCTCGCGGCCCCGCCACCTTACCTGCGGCCCCGCCCTTACCTGCGGCCCCGCCGCCCTCTGCTGCGGCCCCGCCACCTTACCTGCGGCCCCGCCACCTTACCTGCGGCCCCGCCACCTTACCTGCGGCCCCGCCGCCCTCTGCTGCGGCCCCGCCACCCTATCTGCGGCCCCGCCACCCTACCCGCGGCCACGCCGCCCTTACCAGCGGCCCCGCCGCCCTTACCTGCGGCCCCGTGCCCTGCAGCAGCACAGCCGAGCCGCCCAGCAGCCGAGCCGCCGAGCCGCCCAGCAGCCGAGCCGCCCAGCAGCCGAGCCGCCGAGCCGCCGAGCAGCCGAGCCGCCCAGCAGCCGAGCCGCCCAGCGGCCGCGCCGCCCAGCAGCCGAGCCGCCCAGCAGCCGAGCCGCCCAGCAGCTGAGCCGCCGAGCCGCCGGGCCGCCCAGCAGCTGAGCCGCCGAGCCGCCGCGCCGCCCTCCTTCAGGGCCGCCCGACCTGCCCAGTCTGGTGAGCACAGCGCCTTTTCACTGCACTGTCCTCACCCCACTGTTTGCGCTGCTAGTCGTCTAGGGTCATGGCTACCCCTAGTGTTCTCGCCTTTGACGCTCAGGGTAGGGCCATTGACTTTGAGGTCTGGGTAGATGACCTGCAGCTGTTCTTACAGTGCGATAGGGCAGACGGCCTCTCTCTCTTTGACCTCACCTCTGGCACCTCCACTGCCCCTGCTGCTGATGCTGACGCCACTGTTCGCTCCCAGTGGGCCACGCGCGACGCTGCTGCACGTCTTGCTGTGCGTCGCCACCTCCCTACCTCCGAGCGTGCGCACTTTAGTCAGTACAAGAGTGCTCAGACCTTGTACGACGCTGTAGTTGCGCGCTACTCCTCCCCTGCCACTGCTGCACTGAGCCGTCTCATGCTACCGTACCTCTTTCCTGATCTTACTGCCTTTCCCACAGTCACTGACCTCATTACGCACCTCCGCACTAGTGACACTCGCTACCGCGCTGCACTCCCTCCTGACTTCTGCGCCAGGAACCCCCCCCCCATGTACATCACTCTTTACTACATAGTCACTCGCCTTCCTGACTCCCTTCGCGTAGTCAGGGACCACTTTCTCTCTGTCTGTCCCACCACTCTCACTGTTGACCTCCTCGAGAAGTCCCTCCTAGCGGCCGAGAAGAGCATCGTCGCTGTAGGGGCCTCTCGTGGTGACCCGCGCACCCCCATCTTTGAGGGGTGTTCCCCCTCCCCCCTTCTGCCCTCTGTTGCCTCTGCTGCTGCGGCCGACCTCCTTGTTCTTGAGTCGGTCGGTGCGGCGTCTGCCCCTAGCGGGAGACGCCGCTCTGGCAAGGGCAAGGGGGGCAAGGGCGCTGGAGGAGCGAGCGGGGGCGGTGGAGGTGGAGGTGGCGGCAGTTGGGGGAGTGGGGGTGGCGGTGGGAGTGGAGGTGGGGGTGGAGGGGTCGGTGGCGGCAGTGGAGGTGGAGGTGGCGGCGGCGGTGGCGGTGGGAGCGGAGGTGGCGGAGGTGGCGGAGGTGGAGGCGGCGGCGGAGGCGGAGGCGGCGGCAGTAGCGGAGGCGGCGGAGGCGTCGGAGGCGGCGGGGGTGGCGGTGGTGCTGGTCGCGGGTCTTCGCAGAGGAGTGGCTCCGGTGGTGGCTCGCGCCAGCAGCAGCAGCGTGGTCGTGACACCCTGTCCCCTCAGCAGCTTCGTGAGTGGTACACTGCGCGTCAGCGGGGTGGGGGTTTTGGTCCGTGCTCCTACGTTTTGCGCACTGGCGACCGTGCGGGTGAGCAGTGTGGGGGTGCCCACCCCACCCAGCGCTGCTTTGGCCGCCTGACGGACGCGTGGCGTCACCAGTTCCCGGAGGCCTCCGAGATCCCTCGCTGGGGCGAGCTGTCTAGGGCGGGTGTTGCCATCTATGATCTTGACTTTGATGCTATTCTCTCTGCCATGTATGCTGTGTCTATTAGTGATGAGGGTGACTGTTACCGGTGTTTCCCGCCCGATCCGGGCATTGAGACTGCTGCTCTAGGTCCTGGTGAGGCTGCTGCCCTAGGTGCTTGCGACGCTGCTGCTCTAGGTGCTCGTGTGTCTGCGTCCTCAGGTACTGGTGAGTCTGCGCTCTCAGGTACTGCGTCGGCTTCGGCCTCCCTCACCTTCACCCTTGACTCTGGGGCGTCTCGCTCCTTCTTTCGGGACCGCACCACACTCACACCGCTGAGTCGACCGGTTGCAGTGTCTCTGGCTGACCCCTCTGGGGGTCCTGTCCTGTCTCGCTTCTCCACAGTCCTCCCGTGTCCGGCGGCTCCCTCTGGCACCCTGTCTGGTCTCTACCTCCCCTCGTTCTCTACGAACCTGGTGAGTGGTGCTGACCTACAGGATGCGGGGGTCCACCAGTTCACTCCTGCACGTCAGAGAGTGACCCACTGTACAGAGGCTGGCACAGGCCGACACCTG